GCGCGAGTGGCGGCTGTGGTGGCACATGCCGTTGGGAAATGTGACAATGCAGATGCGTGGATGAAACTATTGAAGGATGTGAAGAAGAAGTTGGGCGCAGCTGTCACTGCGAAAGCGTGGGCCAAACGCGGGTTCAGGACGATCTGGGATTACGACGCCATCGACCAGATGCATAGCGAGGCATGGTGGGGAGAGGCGCATGACAGCGCCGAAGGCCCATGCATGGAGGACATGGGTGCCGACGAGCCCGAGTTCGTGCGAGGGTCTTCCAGCAAGATCAGGAAGACTTCCACCGTTGAGCCCGTCGCGCCCCCCCGCGCCAAGGCCGCGATGCCAGATATGACGGTTGGTGGGCAGATGCAGATGTGCCAGAACATGTTCGGGGGGCAGTTGGCCGCGGCGCTCTTCGCCAATGTGGCACTCCATGGAGGACATGCAGCTGGGTCTGCAGGAGCGTCTACAGGGGTGCACGCAGGGGCATCTTCAGGGGCTGCCCTCTGGAGCCACCAAAGGCGAAGCTTCCGCCTCGTGAGGAGCCAACGCTCGGCAAGTCGGCGACGGCCGAGCCAACGTTGATGACGAAGAGCCCGATGCCAACCTGAGCGACGAGGAGGCCGCCCTGCGCAAGCTGCTCGCCACCAAGGCGAAGGCGGCGGCCGCGGCGACGGCCGCGCGCAAGCGCCCCGCCGCGGCTGGCGACGCGGTCGCCGATGCCGCCGAAGCAGATGCATCAGAGGATGCAGAGCAGCCGAAGAGCACGGGCAAGGGCAAGGGCAAGGGCATCAAACACAAGCACAAAGGCAAGGGACACGGCAAGGGCAGCAAGCGCACGGGCAATAGCACGGGCAAGGTCGTCGCGAAGAGGCCCTCAAGCCACGTCGCGAAGCCGAAGGTGCTGCCGCCGCCTGCGAAGGCGGGGAACCTCCACTACAGGGCTGGCTACGCCTGACCCAGAACGACAATCAGGTATATCGCCCCGTAGTGGGGCGGAGCGACAAGAGGATCAAGTGGGGCCCTGGCGTGCGCTCGCGCGCTGAGGCGTGGTCCGCTGCCTTGGCGTTCATCGACGATCGGTCGTAGGCCAGCACATCTCATCGTTTGTTGTTGCAGCGATGTATTCGCTTGTGCATCTGTGGTGTAAAACAAATACGGTGCGATCGTCGCATCCTGTCTCACTCGTGTCGATTGCGTTGCGGTCATCGCATATCGCATCAGTCCGTAAGCATTTTGGCTGGCATGGCGTCGGGTCCGCGGCCGAAGCGGTCCCGAACACACTCCGAGGCATTAGTTGAGGTCCACCGCGGCCCGTATGTTTCCCAGGCAGCATTGTCTCACGTGCTCACTTACGTTCGTGACAATGGGTTGCCAGACGCTGTCTCGCGGGGGTCCCAATATAGGGCATATGAGAAACATGTGGTCAATGATCGTAACACATATGGCCTTATATTGAATGGCAGGCAGATGCTTGTTGGCGACGATAACGATGGGGGCACATTTGAGAATTGGGTGCGTAACCCAGGGGCGTTCTTGTACGCGATATGCAAGAAAAGCGGGCCGTTCAGGTCATTGATGCGCCAACAATTGCAAAAGCACCCATGTTCTTTAGTTGTGCCTTGGAAGATAATCCTTTATTTCGATGGTATATCGCCGCGCGATCCTCTCGCGAAAGGTAAAGACTACAGTGGTATGGATGCTGTGTACCGGTCTTTTGCCGCATTTGACGAACACTTGCAAAACGAAGATCTATGGTTCACCCTCAGCACCGCGCGCGTTGCCAAGGTGAAAGATATGCCTGGGGGCATCGGGCAATCTATCCGCATGATGCTCAGCGGGCTTTTTTTTTTTTTTTTTTTTTTTTTTTTTTTTTTATAGATCGGGTGGCGTTAACTTCGAGACAACGGGGGTCACGCTTGATGTGTCTGCGCTCGGTGACGCAACAACATACGCAACGATAGTTGCGAGATTGGCGTGTGTTATAGGAGACAAGGAGGCGTTGAGGGAGCTTCATCTGAACAAGGGGTACGCTGGCTCTAAGCCCTGCGCAATGTGCAGGAACGTCCTTAACAAGAAATTCGGCTACACGCAATTCGACAATTCGGGGACATACGTTGATGATACCTGCCTTGACAAATGCAAACTCGTATACAACACCGACGCGACAGTCGTCGCGATCTTGGAGAGGTTGCGCCCTGATTGGGAGAGGTACCAGCGAGACCAGCTCACAGACGCGCAGTACACATCTGTGACGCAGGAGAAAGGTTGGAATTTCCATCCAACGCATGTCGCACTGGACCCGTTTCTTAGATACTTGGTGATGACATTCTTCTGCTTCGATTGGATGCGCGTACATTTCGTCAGTGGCATTTTTGATCGGGAAGTCAGGGCCCTCCTAGAGCACAAAGATTTCAAGAAACTGTCCAGCGCCGACGACCTCCACGATTACTTCATGAAGTGGACATGGCCATCCAAACACCACTCTGCTGCAACAGTCTGGGAAACGGGGGACTTCCAGGCGAGTGCCTCGCAAGAGCTATCTGCGATTCTCGTACTGGCTCTATACATCAGGCAAGTCATTGCCAGTACACCATCATGCGATGCAGTCGCAGACCAGATAGCAAGCATGCTGGCGTTATGTGACGCCGTGGATGCGATTCTCTGCGCGTCGAGGCGATTGCCATGCACACGCGACGAGGTTGAGTCAGCAGTGCTGAAACATTTGGAGCTTCACCAGCGCGCATATGGTGCCAAGTATTGGGTGTATAAGCATCACATGGCTATCCACATGGCTGGTATGTTTGAGAGGCATGGTGCTTTATCATGTTTTGTCCAAGAGCGGAAACACAAACATGTCAAAATATGTGCAAATGACCACCTGTGCAAGGCGAGGCCCGAGAAGGCTGTAATGATCCAGCTCACGGCTCAGCACATGCATGATCTACAGAACATCCGCGGGTTGTCACTGGAGTGCGAGTTCGAGTGCGCCACAGCTGCAAGCAAACGTTTGTTGAGTGCTTTGCAGCAGCTGCGGCCAGGCACGCATGCAGCAGTCTCGACCATTGAAGCGCACACCGAACATGGAGGGAAATCAAACGTGGTGACATAGTTTTGATGGGTCGCGATCGTGGCCACGTTGCAGTCCAAGTGTGGTTCCACGTGAAATGCGACGGCGATCCGCCGCAGAGCTTAGTTCAGATTCTGATTACAAAGCACGTGCATGCGAGCGAACACTTTTCTAGGCATGTCATCGATGATGCCCGCGATCCCGTTCTCATCCCCTTCAGTTCGTTGAAATCTCCAGTGGTTTACAGGAGAGTTGGCGATCATATCACGTGCATTTGGCCAGTGGAATACCGTAAATTGTTCTGTTAGCGCATACTTTACAACAAAAACATCGATATGCAAAGAACACAACATGCAATCTCCAAAAAACAAAATGCACGTTCCAAAAAAAACCTCAAGTATAAGCCAAACAACGAACATGTCACTCCAAAAACTCCAACACGGTAACTAGTTATAACGAGTTACTAACTAGTTATAACTCCAGCTAACTATTACTAACCGAAGCGTTCCTTCAGGGAGGGGGTCCGGGGATGTGCTTGACCAGCCTCGAGCTCATCTCTCTCCGCAAGATTGTCGGGTCGGGCGAAAGTCAGGAGGGAAAGACACACACAGACACAATTTGATCGACGATCTCCCCAGGAAATATGGGGAAATATGGGGATGTGGGGGGGAAGACAAAAACGCAGAAAATATCGGAAAATATGGGGGGGGGGGGTCCTGTTATTTGTATGTATTTATATGTGTGTCCCAGGGCCCCTTCAGAAAGGGGGGGGGATAGCACAGGGGGGGGTTGAGAATCAGCTCACGGAGCTGATTTTCCCGGCGCCTCCCGGCGCCGGAGGCGGCTACGTATCGAGAAGAATGGGCCCCTCCGCGGGGCCGAAACCAGCTGCATGCACCAAATTTCGTAGGCCCCCTTTCCCAATCCCCCCCTTTCGTACGGCCCGAGATTGACAAACCAAGAGGCGACGGCAGCATTCGGGATTCGGGATGCGCCCTCAGGAAGGGAGCGAGCCCCTCTCACCGGCACGGAGAACATATATGATGCTAGTGCTCAGGATAGAGCTATGCTTCAGGCCGGTGTGAAGGAGCACGAGGCATAGGTTCGCGCGGACTTCTCGGATCGCCACTGGACCCCCTCCCTGGCATGCAGAGCGCGCTAGGAGCTGCGCCGGAGGCGCCGCCAGGGGAGGCCCCGCGCGAATCCGAGAAATCCGTGCAGAGCTCTCAGGAATCATGCGTATGCTGATTTTTGTTTTAGGATGGTAGTTGTTGAGGGAAGAGGAGGGGGCCATGACACCCGGGGAAAGTCAAGGCCCTGGCCGTTACATCCAATGGTTCTTGAACGTTTTCAAAAAGCAGCTTCTGCACCGAACTCATAGAAATCCATGTTCGAGTCCATGTAGGTGCCGTTATATGCATCAAGTGGTCACGTAAACTAATTCCACAACGCTTGTCTGAACTAATTCAAGAAACGTTGTTTTTGAATTAGTTGTTTCTTGAATTATGTTGAGAATGTGATTTGTTAATATGCACTCATCCCCTCAGTACTTACCACATCCCCCTCGGGCGGTTCGGGGAAGGTACCCTGGTGTTTTCTTGTGTTTGTTGAATGTTCTTGTGCATCCTATGGGAGGGTTCCCTTGTATATTCTGTGCGTTTTGGCCAGCGGAGGGTCTCACGTCCTTGAAGGATGTTCTTCTGGCCTACGTAAATCCGAATGTAGTGTTTCTACGCTCCCGTGGTCAAGCCAACTCGCCGAAGAAACGCTGTCGGACGGGCGGGTGGGGATAAGCGAGGCGTCGGTCACTGGGCCCGAACGTCCTGGCCCAGGGCCAGGGGCAGCGCACTCTTCCCCAACTCCCCCCGCCCCAGTAAGCGCTCCCAACGACGAGGCCCCTGAGGGAGATCGCCCCCCCGCCCCCCCTCCCCGCGGAGGCCTCGGAGAGCCCGTGGGCGGCGCCGCTGCGCTCCACGGCCGACTCGTCGGAGCGCAGCATCTCGAAGAGCCACGGCAGCACGTCACCCAGCATATCCTCCAGGGGGCGGGGGGCGGGGCGGAGGCAGCAGGCCTCCTGGCTTCCCCCGCCATCTCCTACTCCAGTCCACTGTCCACTGTGCCCCTCCTCCTCCGCCTCCTCCGCCGCCTCCAACCCTGGCTCGGGTCGGAGACTCATCCCCTCAGCGCTCTTGACTTGTGTTTACGTCTTCGTACCGTGCTCTTCCTTTCTCACCTCCCCTCTCCCTCCCGTACCCACTCCCCCTCCCCTCATTCCCTCAACCTCACTCAAGCGCTCCCTGCCTTTTTCCGTTCCCCCGTTTCCTCCTCCACCCCAACGTCGGCTGTTGGGGCCAGGGTTGCCCCTGAATCCTCGGCTGTAGGCCTGTCCTAGAGCGTGTCTTGAGGCAGATGCTGTTGCTTCAGGTGTACGTCGTCGTCGTCGTTATTCCCCTCCTCATTCGCCAACCCTCTCTTCCCCACCTCTCCTCCATCTCCTCTCCCTCCAGAACCTCCCTCCCCATATCCCCTGTCCTACTCCACCATCTCGGCCCCTCCTCCCCAAACTGGCTGCCTATGTATATTCGAGCGTGTGTTTCCCTTCTGTGTGCAGTCAGACGAGCGAGTCTGACTGCGGGCGATGAGTACGAGCGTCAGAGTGCGAGCTAGTCTGCGTATGAATGAGTCCGAATATGAGCGGCGAAATATGAGTGGGCCTCATTAGCTTTTCGCGGGGCCCCTGGAGCCTGCTGAGCCATATGCACAATTCATATGAGCAATGGCGGACCGTCCCCTGCGGCAGCAGGAGGAAAAGGAGGAGAAGCAGCAGGGAGGAGGAGGAGGAAGAGGAGGAGGGGGGGGGAAAGGGGTGGGGGTGGGAAGAGGGGGGAGAGGAGGAAGGAGGAGGGGAGTAGAGCGGCGCAGAGGAGAGGGGGGCGCAGAGGAGGAATGTGGGAGTACATCTTCGAGTCGTGTGGCTTGTGGCGGTATCTGGAGAGCCTCCGAGCCCGCTACCCTAAAACCGATTCCTGTTTGGGGGTGGGATGGGCGAAGCAAAAATGCAAACTTGCAACATTCATGTGTTCGTCCGTTGACGCACCCCTCAAGGGGAGCTCGGCGCTGCGAGACCAAATTGTGAACTGAACTTTGTTGGTTTGCCCGTCCTTCGGCCCACGAGCCTTCCCCCTCCTCCACATGCAAGCACATATGTTTGTCCACCCTTGGTCTCACTATCCTATGCCTCCTACGCGGGAGTTTGGGGCAACGGGCAAGGCAAACAAGTAACATTGCATGTGTGTAGATATTATACGTAGTACTCTATCCCTCCTCCTTGTGGTTCGGGTTCTGGGGGTCGCGCAAAGATGCCACCTTTTCATTCGATGCGCCCAAGATGCGATCAACTACCGTATCCATGTTACACCAAATGCGAGGTCAGGTCAGAACCCATGCATCTGTAGGACGCGTTGGCACAAAACATCTAGATCATTAATTGGACCCGAGATTGCTTGGTGATGTGCCGACCTTCAGGTTGCGATAACGCGCGGCGGAATAGCAACGGAATGAAGGGCGCACCAATCTCTCGCTGCGAATGTTCTCTCGCTGCGAATTTGTACCGCGTGGGTCCCTCTTGGTCCGTCATGGGGAGCTGAGCCCGTCTTGGGGCCCTCTTGGGGCCCTCTCCGACCATGTAGGGATCCTCCGGTGGCCCCCCATCGGGCCCCCTGGAAACTCTCTTGGGTCGTCTTGGAGCTCTCGCGTGCTGCTTGAAACTCTCTTCAGGCCGTCTTGGCGCCCTCTTGGGGGCATCTTGGGCCGTGAGCCGATTTTGGGTGCCTTTGGGGCCGTCGTGGCCGCTAGTAAGACTGAAAAGCGAATATCCCGGAAATATGCGTTTTGTCCGTCGGATATGCTTGACTTCTGCCTTTGGGAGGCCTTCTCGGCGGTCTCTTGGACCGTCTTGAGGGAGCCTTTTGGGGTCCTTTTGGCCCGTCTAGGGGCCCATTTCGGCCGTCCCGGGTCCCTTTTGGCCCGTCATAGGGAGCTGAGCCCGTCTTGGGGCCCTCTTGGGGTCCTCTCCGACCATGTAGGGATCCTCCGGTGGCCCCCTCGGGCCCCCTGGAAACTCTCTTGGGTCGTCTTGGAGCTCTCGCGTGCTGCTTGAAACTCTCTTCAGGCCGTCTTGGGGCCCTCTTGGGCCGTCTGGGGCCGATTTGGGGAGCCTTTGGGGGCCGACGTTGGCCGCCGTGGACACAGACGTGGCCGCCGTTAGGATTAAAACGGCGACCATCCTGGAAATGTACTTTGTCCATTGGAATTTGTTTTTTTTTTTTTGCCTTTGGGGGGCCCTTCTCGGCGCCCTTTTCAACCTACCTTCAAGGAATCGTTTTGGCTTTTTTTGGGCCTCGGCTGGCCCTTTCGGCCGCCTCTATCCCTCTTCGCCCGTCATGGGGAGCTGCGCCCGTCTTGGGACCCTCGTAGGGCCCTCTCCGACCTGTAGGGATCCTCTGTTGGCCGCCTTGGGCCCCCTGGGGACTCTCTCGGGCCGTCTTGGAGCTCTCTTGTGCAGCTCGAAGCTCTCTTGAGGCCGTCTTGGGGCCCTCTTGGTGGCCTCTTGGGCGGTCGGGGGCTGATTGTGGGATGACTCTGGGGCCGTCGAGGCCGCTGTTTAGGATTGAGAAACGAATATCCCAGAAATATACGCTCTTGCATGGGAAATGTTTGACTTTTGCCATTGGGGGGCCTTCTCGGCGGCCTTTTGGACCGTCTTGAATGCCTTCGTGGCCGTCTAGGAGCAGTCTTGGGCTGTCTTCGAGCGCTCGCGGCCCGTCTGGAGGCCATCTCAGTGCGCTGCTCAGCCATATTCCAGACAACCTGGGGCGCTTTGGGAGCCTCTTTTTTTCCTCCCGCAAGACCTCCATGGACAAACGGCTCCACAACATTTTGGAGAACAGAAGACCACCGGCAACCCGGGAATGCCCACGAGACATCGCCCGAGCGGCACGCACTAGAAGAGGAAGGCGAGAAAACGGAAAGGAAGAAAATTGGAGAGCGGATTCGGAAAACTCTGGGCCAGCTTGGGGCCTCGATGGGTATCTGGGCCCCCCTTCCCGGGCCGCCTCGGCGCCATCAGGCCCCCCCCCCGGCCGCCATGCAAACCAGTCGTCGCCGGTTTGCGGGTCCTCCCGCGGCCTTTTCGCGATATATATATCTATATATATATATATATATATATTATATATATATATACACACACACACATACATACAAGACTGCAGTGGCGCTTCGCGCCATGCACCTTGGTCCTTGAAGTTTGGTATGCATGCGGAATAGCAGGAAGGTCAAGCCGACAATTTAGAGATAACTCCTTGTTGCCTTTTCCGGCATCGCCGCTATAATTATGTTATTCGTTATCCTTCCTCCATGCTTCTTTTTCCTTATTTTCGCCATACCATGCGCATTCTCCCCATCCTCAGCTCTTTTTTGCGGAGGCTCCTCCTTGGATAGCCTCTGGGGGCCTCACAAAAGTTGTTTCAGGTTTTCTTAAGGCCTTCTGGAAGCCTCCTGGGCGTATTCTGGGGGCCTCTGGGGACTTCCTCGGGCCACCCTGCCTCCAACCGCGGTCTCCCTGAACGACCGGGTCACGACTTGGAATGCTTCGGAGGGTGTCTTGGGGCCATCTTGGGCCGCCATGGGGCTCTCTGAGGGCCATCTTGGACCCGTGTTGTGCCGTTTTGGGGCTCTCTTGGACTGCCTGGAAGCACTTTCGGATGGTTGTGGGGCGATGTTGGAGCCTCCCAGGCGGCTTCGGACGCCCAGGAGAACCCCAAAATTCAGCAAAAAACAACAGAAAATCAAAGATGTGTGCCTCTTGGGGCCTTCTTGGGAGTGATCTTGGAGGCCTCTTTGGGGCCGTCCTGGAGGCCTTTTGGGCCATCTTGAGGTCACGTCGGCCACTCTTGGAGCGCTCTTGTGCTGTCTTGGGGGGTCTCTGGGACGTCTCCGATGACCCCCCTGATCGCCCTAGGTGTGCTGGGAAGGCTTGGCAAAACGCCCTGCGAGGCCCAGGGGGCCGCTTCGAGGCCCGTCCGGAGGGTCCCAAAGCCCCAGATCCCGGGAGTCCGGTTCTGGGGGGGGATGGGTTTTCCCCCCGCCCGGGCTTGTAAAAAGATAGGAAGAGGAATCTATATACATATATATAAATACACACATACATACAGACACACACACACAGACACATACATGCATGCATGCATGCATGCATACATACAGACATACATCTATATATATGTACACACACGCAGACCCATGCCAATGCGTGATCAGCAAAAACGCCCTGCCTGATTGGCTGGTGGATGGGTCCTGTGGGCGGCGACACTTTTTTGTCGATCGCGCGCGCGCCATGTGATCAACGGAGGACCCCCCCCGTCCTCTGGCAGTCCGTTGGCCAGGGTCCCGAAAGCCTTCGCCGCAGTGGCGCGGACGTCGGGGATGGGGTCTACGAGCGTTTCCTTGAGCTGCGGTAGCAGCAGCGGCAGGTAGGGCTGTATGTCCTGGTGGGTGGGTGGGGGGGTCTTGGGGAAGAGAAATCGAATGAGGAGGGGAAGGGGGAATGGATAATGACGAGGGCGCGACGCGGGAGGGCGGGATGTGAGGAGCAGTGGAGGAGAGGATGGGGAGGAGGGGAAGGATTTTTAAACTCCACGATCGCGCCTCCAGATGCCAGGGGGGCCTAGCGACAACGACTGCAACGGAGGAAAAAGTAGGCGCCTTGCACACCTTAATCCGTGTAGTGTTAAAACATTCAGTCAGAGAGCGCGTGCCGACTGTGACTCCAAGCTTCTGGCGACTATACTGAGGGCGTTCGCCTTTACAAAAAAAAGCATCCAAACCATAGCGAGCAGCACGAGTTGACGGGGTAATGCACTTGTGTGCAAGTCCGCGCACTTGGCCGCCCGTCGAATGACACTTGCAGCGCACACAAATAAAGAGAACAATATTATCTGAACAATCGAACGCGATCGTCTTATGACCATGTGGACCATGAAAGTCCTGACGAGCAGCGTGCAACTTCGAGTCCTGAGGGCATCGGCCTGGATGTGGGCGAACATGACCACGACTGCCACGCAAACAGACCGCGCACTTTCGAACCCCCGCCTATTGTTCCCAGCGATGTCCAACGCTGGGAGTCGCAACAGAGGGCGTCTGCACTCGCTCTACAGATCTGGCAAATGGAATAAAACGCTAGCTGCCACCTTGAGCGTGGCACGAAAATGTTTGACAAGCGGGTCCGCAACTTGAAGCTGGTCCGGATCATCGGGGTGGATGGCCACGGCAAGCTTCGCGCCAGCATCCGCGTGGTGATTCCCCAACCGACGCCACCAGTCGTTCGCATCGAGACCTTCCTCGTCCAAACCTTTGCGGGCAGCAAGTTTAGTGCAAACAGCAATGGACGACTGTTGAGCATAACGCTGAGGGAACGCACCCGCATACATCTTCTTAGGAGAGAGCTGCTTGGCCTTCGACCTGCGTTCTACGCGGACCACGTTGATGCAATCAGAGTAGACGCGAGAGGCCGAGGGACAACGAGAAATAAGATTAGACCACTCTGTGGGGTCTGGGGATACGGACTCCAAACGGGGGCCCTGAACTCCGCGACCACCTCAACTTTGGAAGTGGTCATGCGCACGCAGCTAGCCGCTCGGGACAGCTCACGAATGACGCGACGAGAGCACGACCCGTCGACAAACAAGTCACCCCAGACTCCAGACGCTGAGGGAGCGCCGTCGGGCGGAATCACATTATCTTTGTGCCACACAAGGATCGGGCCATCGTCAGACTCAGTGCGCGGACGCGGATAGGAGTCGCCGGGATGCCGAAAGGCTTGAAAAGTTAAAACGAAGATGACGTCTTTGTCGCCAGACGCCTCAGCAGCCAAACTTAGCATCGATCAAATCCTGTTCCACAGCCGCAACCCGATTCTCCGCTATGGGCTGGTGTCCTGGGCGCCGCAAAAGGGGCACGACGGGTCGACGCAGTAGCCGAACTCCTCAACCTGGGCCGCCGTGAGAAAAGTTTCTGTCGCGAAAACTCGAATCCGAGACTTCTGCGGCAGAAAATGTGCGACTCCGGTGGGACAAACACTTTCTGGCCTCATCGTAGCAGCTCCTGGGAAGCACCCCGCTCTTTTCCCTGGACTCCCTCTCCAGCATCCTGAAGCAACCGTCGCGGACGCAGACCTTCACCAAGGCAGGGGAGACAATACCGAGAGGGATGGACTGCCCAAAATCATTGATGAGGCCGAGATCGGCCCGGCCACTCGCCGCCACGAGCAACTGTCGGGAGAAAAAACGGCCGTCCAAGCGCGGCGGAGCGCGGGAAGCCCAAGAGACCACCTGTAGGACCCCGTCTGACTAATCCAAACCTCTTTGCTCCACCTGGTGATCGGCGCCGTGGCACGTGGGGTCGCCGTCCAAGATGGCGCAAAAGTGTTAAAGACCTGAGCTGGCTAAGAGGCCGGACCACCGACAACAACACGACGCCGAAGCTGTCGGAGGACCTCGTCGCTAGTATCAGTGACCTCGGTACCGCAGGAGGCTCCTGCAAGGGGCCCCGCCGAGAAGACCTTCAGGATGGTGGACCTCTTGAGCGCCTTGGCATGCTTCCCCAGGCGCCTCGCCGCACGGGCTGCCTTAGCCAACCTTGCCTTCAGCTTGGCCGACCTGCCCGCCGTGCGAACTGAGCGCCCAGCAGTGTAGTCCACACCTAGGTTCACTGCCGAGGTCGAGCACTGACCGTCCAGATGACTGAGCTCATCTGAAACCTGCGTGCCGTCATGTTTCGAACTGGACACGATCGAAATTTTATCCAAAGCGAAGGAGCAAGCGAGCTCGGACTGCACGACACGGTGCAACGCCTTAGCTTCAGCCACAATGTTCGAAATGACCTGCGCAGCAGGTCCCGTCGAAAACAGCCCCTGATCATCGATGTGCACATCGATATCCAGGCGGGGGGAAAGCTGCAAACTGTCGTACTCATCGAGACAGAAGACGCGGATCAGCGTAGTGGCCATCGAGCAGCCAGCAACGACCCCCGATCGGCAAAAGTACGGGCCTTCCGACCATCCCCCGAGACTCAAAAGCCGGCCGCACCGATACGCAAATGAACACAGCCTGGCAATGACCGTGGGAAAGCCGAGTCTGCGGCAGCGCTCCTCAAGTCTGGCCACAGACACATGTCCATAAAACTTGGAGGCATCGAAGAAAACGCTGCAACTGGTCTCCCTCTTGGCGGCTCCGCTTTCAGCCGTAACGGCCCGACGCCACACGGCATCGGCTGCTCCTCGGTGCTGCACGGCGGCCCAGCACCGACGAGGGCGTGCCATCTCCCAGGCCAAAGCGAGGGAACGCCTGAAACTCCTCCTCCTCCTCCTCCTCCTCCCCCTCCTCCTCCCCCTCCTCCTCCTCCTCCGCCGCCTCCTCCTCCTCCTCCTCCTCCTCCTCCTCCTCCTCCTCTCCCAGGCCAACGCGAGGGAACGCCTGCAGCGCCCCAAAACTCTGCTGGGGCCCAAGCCCCCTGGGACCCGAATTTGACAGGGGCATTGCCAACCAATGGAATCAACTCACGCTCGGCGCCGTCGGCCCAAGACTGGTAGATCCCTAACCTCCCGAGGGCACCGAAAACACCTCCCGCGTCCAGCGCGTCTTGAATGAAGTCGATCATCGATTGGACGCCCTCCCAGGTAATTAGCAGGCTGGGGGGATGGGCCAAACACCGCCTCGCACGGCAAGGGGGGAGGACGTCGGAAGGCGAGCGCCTGCAACACCGCCAGCCGCGGGTGGAAGGCCAGGTCCACTGGCCGATGGGGCGAGAGCTCCATGTCCAGATGCGTCTCGACCGACTTGACCGCTTTCGACAAGCCCCCAGAGATGGCGAAGTAATCGAACGTCGTCGAAGGACCGGCAGGATAGTGGGTGCAGACAGAAGGGGCGATAAGACTGCCCCTCAACTCTTGAACGAACCTCGATATTTCTAGGTCTCAAGATTCAAAGTCAACATCGGCGCCAAGAATCCACGGCTTGGCATCCGAATCGAGGAACGAGCCCAGGGACGCAAGCAAACCGAGGTTCCTGTCCGAAAGACCTTCCGAGTGGTAGAGGTAAGCAGACGCCACGAGAACAGGAGGAGTGCCAGGCAAGAACACGCCCCCTGGCCACGTTGCCACCAAGCAGGTCCAGACAAACCATCCAGCTGCGCACGAAAATGGCGACACCCTCGCTAGTATCCCCCACATCCGTGGCCGTGGCAGGTGACCGCACAGACTTCCAGCCATGGCGGAGACACCAAGCGCTAGCCTGCTCGATATCCGCCTTGGCTAACAGTCTGTGCTCCTGGCAGAACAACACATGCGCATCAGAACCTTCAATCATAGAACGCATGCGCCCCCAGGAATTACAATTGATGGTCTGAACCCTGAGCGACACAACATCATTTGGAGCAGAGTGGCACTGGAAAGGGTCTTCGAATCTCCTTCTAGGGGGGATTCTCCGACCCCCCCCTGCGCGTCTCCTGGCAGGCCCATCCCAAGAAACAAAAAGGGGTGATATCGGCCACGCTGCCTGGACAGATGTTAAAAAAACGTGCCCCCCCCCCTCCCTGGTGGAGATAGTGGCGGGCTGACCCCGGGGAAGAACACGTGGCGATATCGGCCACGCGGCCGGGACAGAGGTAAACAAATCGTCTCTCCCCTCTCCGGTGCAACTCCCGAGACACCCGAGCCCCTGGACAGAAGGCGCACGCGGCTCATCCACACCGGCTTCATGTAAGGAGCAGCCGGGTAAAGTGGCGGGCAGCGGAAGCTGAACCGCCATCGAGCGACAAGGAGCATCTCTAGTCAGCGACATCGTAGGACAGGAAAGCATGGAAACCGAGCTGGCGGGCGCCTGCTGTCGGCGAGCGGAAATAAAGCACGGGCTGGCAGCAGCTGGCTCAGAGCTCGCGACAGCATCAGCTCGAGCTAGCAACATCGACCATCGGCGAGACGGGAGACGCTGCTGGAGAGCACCTGGCACGCCGGCAAAGAGCAAGGGAATGCATCGCTTGCGCCACAGGGCCGTTCGGGCAGCGTCCGCGGGCGCGCGGCGAGTGGGGCAAACCACTAAGGACTAGGATGAAGAAGAGGGGGAGGAGGAGAGGAGGGAGGGGCAGACGTTAGAGACCTGTCCAGGTCCCCCCTGGAGCAGAACAACGACCGCACCGAACAGGCCTCCGAGCCGGACCGACGGAGCGCCCGAGAGAGCGCCGCAGGCCGAGGGCCGAAGGCCAGCGTGACCGGGCCCTCGGCGCCCGTGTTCCCCCAGGGGGGGGGGGGGGGCGGCTCGGGCGGCGGAGCCTTGGCAGCTCCTGCGGTGCGGTCAGCACGAGCACGCGCCGACTCGGGGGAAGGTCGGGTGTTGCTAGAACTTCCCCTGGCCCAAGGTGCCCCCAGCTTTTCGCTCCATTTTGAAACCCCTGGGGCCCACTGGGCCTCGTGAGGGGTGCCCTGGAGGCCGTCTGGGCCACTCCGAGAATCCTGGGGGCACCTTGGGCCAGTGGTACTTCTAGCAACACCCGGGAAGGAATCGCTGAAGGTGCCGGAAATGTGCAGACCCGCCAGCGCCGGAGGGATCTGGCGCTGCAGGTGCCGCGCCCTCCGCGGGCGCGTCGCCAGCACCTCCGCGTGCGGCAGAGTCCACACAACAACGCTCCTGCTCGAGCCGCTCTGCGTGCGCAGTAGGTGCAGCACGTACTTCGTCCATCTTCTCCCTGTCCCCCTACAGGGGGATTTTCGACGATTTGTTTTATGCATCAAAAAAGCCCTAAGAACGTAAAAAAAAAAAAGTTCCCTGCCTATTTTTTTAATTATTTTTGGTGTATTTCTTGTTTTTCACAGAAAATCCCCCTGCAGGGGGACAGGCCCGACTTAAGCCTGGCATCCGAAAAACAACGACTTCGCCAACTGGGAGAAACCCGACTTGAGCTGACCAGCCCGCGAAGCGAGCTCGTCAGCATCTTCTCGTCCGAGTTCGGTCTCCTCGTCCCGCTCGAAGATGTCTCCAAGGTCGACGTCGAAGAAGTCGGCCAGCCTCTGCCCGCCAGGCAGAACGCCAGCAGGCATCTTCTGCGCGGCAGAAGTCTTCTCATCAGGCAGGGCCTCGTGGAGACGACGCACCAGCCAGCCGCTCCCCGCCTCCACCTCGAGGAGCTCAGCACGCAGCTCCACCACCGGGAAATGCTGGGCTTCGAGCTGGGCCTCGGCCGTACCTCGTGCCTCGCACGCGCCTGGTCCAGCTTGCGCTCCACATGCTTCGCCGGAGTGTGCGCCTTACTGCGCCGAACCTGCAGGGGCTCAGGAACAGACTGCGGGGAAGCGAGAGCTTTGGCAGCCGTGCGATGGGACGCGGCAGCTTGCGTGTCACCGAGCTTCTCGCACAATGTGGCCATCTGCGCGTACCCCTCGGCGGTGAGTGGTGGTGCAGCGTCAGGTATATGGATATAGTCAGGGGCTGCCTGACCCCTGGCAAAAACAAACGAGTGAGGCAAGTTGACGCCTGTAGAAGCCAAACGCTGCCAAAGAGAAGCTCGCATTCAGAATACGAAGCCGCAGAGGAAAGCAAAAGCACCCCTCAGAATATGTACTGCCTTAAGAACGTGTAGTACTAGACTCAAGGATTGTGCAGAACGCTCGACGTATGCAGCCACCCAACTGGATACATGAACGCGTAAGGAAGCGGCAACATGGATGGCGACCGCGCAAACAGAAATGGAAGCAGGCTATTTCCTTCTCTGTCCCGTGTAAGGCTCAGGTCGACTGGCTTTAGAACCGCCGGCGCCTTCACCACGGCCAAAGGACCGCTTCCCTGCCGAAGCGCCCTTCGGATCCGCCCGATATTGGGAATCATCTGGGTCTGGAACAGATGACGCTGGAAGAGATCTCCCCAGAGTGTGGCAAGAACCCGCCTCATCTGCTGTCTCACCTCGTCGCAGCGTGCCCGCCACGGAAGGCGGGGCTGAACCGGCGGCGTGCTGATCAGAGAGGGTGCGTCCGGGATGCGGGGGTGAACGAGAGCGGTCCAGACGTAGAGCAGGTGCCAGAGCGGGCTCTACAGAAAGCATCCCCCGAGGTCTGCGCTTTGGCTGGCTGCACCTGCTAGATGTGGAATGGCCTCAACGCGAGGCTGAAGGCCATCAGGAGGAAGAGGAGAGGCTGGACCATCTATGGCCATCATGGCCTGCTTGGCCGTCCGGCGCTTCTCCCTCTTTCGTAAACGTTGGGCGCGACACACAGCTCTAAGTTTCTCCAACAATTGAGCAGGATCATCGGAGTATTCAGCTTTGCCCTGTGCATCCTGAGCTCGCTCCTTGTGCAGAGTCGCTGGCGCAGAGGGCCGCACAGCCGCAGACATCACCGTGCCCGCAACCGCAGCAACCACAGCAGCAACAGTGCGCCTCGGCGCGTGCTCCCGGATCGCCGCCTGCACAGCCGCCGCCACAAGGGAGGGGCCATCAGCAGCTATGGCGCTCATCTATGCCTACCAAGGGGAGGCCTGGGGGGGGGCAGCTAAACAAATGCGATCGCTTGACCTAGATATGGGTGCAGCGTCAGGTGCAGACTGGGTCCCACCTGAGCTCTTGCCTCCACCTTTGCCTCCAGCCTCCCAGGGGTGCCAGCGGCGAGAGCACCAGGAGGTCCAAGTGGCCACATGGAGACCGTGTCGATGACCATGGAAGCGCTCTTGAGGGCACCACAGCGTTGCAAACAGAGAACCAAGCTTCGCGTTCTTGCCGCAACCGCAGAAGGAGCACTTCCAGCGCAGCCCCTTCCCAGGAGGCACATGGCCACCATCGGCACGAGCAGGAGGCTGAAGCCCAGGAAGCAGAGGACGCCATGACAACTGGCCACGTCGGCCAGGTGCGCGCCCACCTTGCCCACGGGGATCGCGGCTTTGCGGAGACCCCCCGCCACGGTGCTATGGCGCCCACGTGACCTTGCTTCTCCCGTCGGGCCCCCCCCGCCATGGCGGCCGAACGACGGCCGTGGTGACGTTTGGCTCTCGCGGGAGAGATGTGACTGAGGGAGCGACCCTCAACCGAAAGCGCCGAGCCAGAGGCCCGCAACAGCACAATGCCCAGTGCCGTTCTGACGAGCATGCTGCTGCAAGCGCAGGCAAATCGCCTGGGCCAGAACGGCTTGAGCCAAGATGGCTAAGGGAGGGAGGAAGGATCTGGAGGAAACGAGGGGGGGAGGAGGGGCACTCCAGAGAAAGAGACGAGACGAGGGCAGGCGGACAACAGGGCGAGGAGAGGGCAAGGCTTCCAGATTCTTCCAGATCCTTCCAGCTAATCCCCTGCTTCCTCGGGCGCGCGGGGCGGCATGGCGCTTGCGCCGAAGAGGCCGTCCCCCCGAAAGAGGGACCTGGCAATTCACGACCTGCCTGCTGCTGCGCGGGCACGCGCACGGGCATGGGCAGCGAATGGGGCCGAAGACACTGTATCTAACACGCGGAGGATGTTAAAACAACAGAGCATAAGGCCGAGGGCGAGGAGAAACAAACAAAACGAGGACAGGAAAGGACGAGGAAGACGAGACCGAACAAGAAGAATACGGACCAGGACCAGACAATTCAACCCGGCCTGGGCCAGGAACAAAGGGAAGGAGAGCGCTCACGACCCGAAGAACAACAGGGCACCGAAGATAACGTCGAAGCTTATCAAACATCTCAAGACCACGGGCACGACAGATGCGAGTCTCCGAGCGATACCTGGCTAAACTATCCCACGCGTTACAAGAAGTCTCCACATAGGCAATAGCAGATGAGTCGGATAGACGTTTCGCAGCTTTTCAAAATCGGAGTAGACGGAGGAGGGCATCATATTAGGATGGGGGAAGGGGAAGGAGGAAGAGGACGAGAAGGAGGAGAGAATAAGAAGAGAAGGAGGAGGAAGAAGGGGAGGACCTGGTGGGGGAGGAGGGGGGGAGGGGAAAGGAGCGCGGCCTCCAGAGCGCGCCCCGTTCTCGGTGCCGTGCGCCGCCCGGGGAAGCAGACGACGGCGAAGGCGAGGCGCGGGAGGACTGGGGCGAGGACGAAGAGAATGAGTACACAATACGGAGGGGGAGAAACTTATGAAGCCAATAATGTTCATAACAACAAAACAACTTAAGAAAACAACCAGAATAATAACGCGGCTTGGAGGCGCACAGAGTTCACGACTTCAGAACATTAGTAAGGGCTGCTAGCTTCGCGCTTCGCGCTGCGCGAAGCGCGAATAACTTCGCGCTTTTGCGCCCCCCCCCTCCGAGACAAGACGAGGGGCTCGCGAAGCGCGAATAACTTCGAGCCTTTCGCGCTTCCCCCCGGGGGACAAGACAAGGGCGTGGGGCGATGGGAGAGTCCGAGGCCCGCAAGGCATGCAGAGGATGAGGACTGAGGTGGACGTGGGGACAGAGGACGATGAGGGAGGAACGCCGGCCCTCGAAGTTGGGAATGCTTTTCGTAAGGAGCCCAGTGATTTCTGATAAGGTTTTCGTAAAATCAAGAAGGATTTCGAGCTGAGACCAACACATTCGGAGTAGGTTTCGCGCGGAGCCCCAGGAGTCTGGATATGGTTTTCGTAGGGCGCCCAGTTGGTTAAGATAAGGTTTTGGTAGAGGGCCCCAAGAATTCCGATGAGATCTTCGCGCAGGGCCCAAGAAATTCGGATTAGGTTTTCGAGCGGCGCCCATGGAGTTCGGATATGGTTTCCGCATGGGGGCCAGTGAGTTAGGATAAGGTCTTCGCAGGGGGGCCCAAGAATTATGATGAGGTTTTCGCGCAAAGCCCAAGGAATTCGAATGAGGTTCGCAAGGGGGAATAAGCTAGGAGAAGGTTTTCGTCGGGGGGGCCGAGAGTTAGGATAAGGTTTTCGGGCGGATCCCAAGGAATTCCGATTTGGATTTCGCGCGGAGCCCATGGAGTTCGGATACGCGTTATCGTATTGGGCCCAGGATCAGGTTTTCGAAGGCGGGCACGGGAGTTGGGATAAGGTTTTCGGGCGGAGCCCAAGGAATTCGGACTAGGTTTTCGCGCGGAGCCCATGGAGTTCGGATATGGTTCTCGTAGGGCGGCCAGCGAGCTAGGATAAGGTTTTCCTAGGGCCGCCCAGGGGTTAGGGCAAGGTATTCGGGCGGAGACCAAGGCATTCAGATTAGGTGTTCGAGCGGAGCCCGTGGAGTTCGGATATGCTTTCCATAAGGGGGCTGTGAGTTAGGATTAGGTTTTCGTACCCCAATTGGAGGCCCCTTCCTTCGGGTCTCTGATGAGGAGCACCAAGGAACCAACGATCTGCGCGCCCTTCCTCTTCATCTCTGCCGACCTCAGCTGCCCGGCAGAACTAGCCGCCGCCCTCAATACCGGATCCCACGATCAGAATACCTTCAGGTCGAGTCGCCGGTCATGCAAGCGGCTGCGCCCATCTCGCACGATGCAACCGACCAGACACACGACCAACACTCTTGTGATCGGCAACACTCGCAATCGCGATGCGCAATGATAAGATCTCACGGCGTTAGGCTGAAGGCCGCTCCTTCAGGGCACGCTGAACCAGAGGGCAGACGAGCGACAGGGACGGAGCGTCGATGTGATGCACGAAGGAGGTGCCCAAGACTTTGTCAAGGACATCCCTGGTGATGTGCTCGAACTGCGCGCCGTCCGTGAGAGCGTGGATGAGCTCTGGGGCTATGGCGCGGAGCTCCGGGCTCGTGATGATGCTGCCGACCTCTTCTCGGCCGGCGAGGCGGGGAAGAGGACAGGAGGAGGAGGCCAGCCTGGACAGAGTCCAGAGCCACGCCCCCCCCTCTGGATGATTGCAGCTCACGGCTCGGCGGTGGACAAACCTCCCTCTAGTAAACCTCCCGTTCGTGAAAACGGCCTGGGACCGAAACCGACGGACCTGGACCCGCAAAAATGACGGCCGCGACGCCCTCTCGCGAACCGAGGAGGAGGAGGAGGAGGAGGAGGAGGAGGAGGAGGAGGAGGAGGAGGAGGAGGGAGGAGGAGGAGGAGGAGGAGGAGTCTATCCACCTCCGAACGGCGGGGTCCACATGCTCTCACCTCGCGCCTCCGTGGAGGAGAACCGTCCTGGGGCCACCACCTCGAACTCCACAGCATGGTGCTCACGATCCACGGCGGAGGCTAAAAGTAAGAAGCATATGGCTCACGCGTTCACTCGACCCTTTCCGTCCCACCTGTGCCCCCAATGCCCGTCTCGTCCGCCGTTTCTCTACCCTCTCTCTCTCTCCCTCTCTCTCTCTCCCTCTCCCACTCTCCCTCCCCTCTTGCCCCTTGCCCAAGCCACCTTCGCCCCTGTCCCTCCCCGGTCTACCCCGCCTCCCCATCCCACCTTGCTCCTCTCTGGTGCGAGCGCCGCCGCCGGAGTAGCGTCAGTCGCGGGCGCCCTCTGGTCGGAGAGTTTTGGCCAAGCGAACGGCGCGGCGGGCGAGGATCACCGGTGGCATTTGCAAGGAGTCTCTCTCCCCCAACGGAGGGTGGGAGAGCAAGATGGATCGCCTTGTCGATCGCCTCCCGCGCTGCCTCCTTGACCTTGGCGTGCTGGTCGTTGATGACGGTGCACAGTGCTGGCACCTCGGAAGGGCAGCGCCACTCGCGAACAACCACAGACACACACACGCACACTCTCACCCAGTGAGCATCGTTGTAACCGATCCCTCTCCCCACTGACGTGAACTGGGCCCCGTTGGCCGGTTCTCCCCAGACGAGGACATTGGCTGTGGTTTCGAGGGGCCTATCCCAATTGAGGTGGTGGGATGGTGGAGCTGAGATGCCACGGCCCGCTGGGGACGTAGATAGGTTAAACGGTGCTGACACAGGAACTGCTGCCTTTTCAATGTCGCCAGACTTCTGACGTTGCGAGCGACATCTACGGCCCAAGCCATGAACCGCAGATTCGTGCGTCGGAGCTAGAGGGCCCTGGGAGGGCCAGATCCAATCATGGCAGCTTGAGCTCGACGGTTGGGGTCAGAGACCTAACAGTGCTAGACTTACGACCCACCGTCTAGATCCAACACCAGCGTCCCAGGGCTTTCCTGATCGGTCGTGGAGAGGTAACACGGGGGCATCTGCTGACAGTGCTCTGATTGCTTCTCGGCGCAAGCTGCACACGCACGGCCGAGAGGAAACATCCCTGGACGGCCTTGAACGATTCGCCCCGTCCTTCGTGTGCTGCTGTCCTGACCCTCCTCTTGCTCCCGTCCCTCCCCCTCTCCTCTCAGTCCCTCCTTCGCTCTCCTCCTGTTCCTGCTCGCCAGTGCAGTTCATGGATTGGCGCCTCTCTCGGATTACCTGCGTCTATGGAAAAGCCGCGAGATGATTTCCTACGCCCTGCTCCCCCCTGTCTGCGCCAATCTTATTGTTTCAGAGCGTCGTGCTCCGAGAAGTACTGTGGTGAGACTTTTGCGGACCGATGCTTTCCTAACAGCATGAACCTGCTAAGAACTTTCAAGGTTTCTCGGCCTGCCAGAGCGGCCTGTGTCCCTTCCACGGCCCGAGTTGGCAATCCGAATGGCGAAATCCCCTGCCCAATACTGGAAACGTAAACCGCCGAACCAAACGCAGAAATATGACTCGGGAGCCATGTGGTGTACTGGATGTGCCGGCGCGAAGAGACGAGTTCGATCCAGGGCCTCATACCCTCCAACCAGGGCCGAAAGGCGAGGCGAATGGCGAGGAGAAAAACGAATGCCAGTGCCAGCAGCTCTTGGGGATAATAAAACACTGAGCCGAATTATCTACACCAATGTGGCGCGTGTTAGGAATGAATGGTTTACACACACACACACACACGCAAGCGAAACTGAAGCTCGGACACCCAGCGGGGCGCCAGGGGGAGTTTTCGAAATAAACGTTATGGACGGTGTACATTGACGTCTCTCTTTGGTGAGGGCGGGGCCGTGCATCGGTGTCGGGAAATCGGTTCCTTTGCCTCGGGCCTGGCGCTGGCTGTCGAAGCAATGCCCTTGACACGCCTCCTCTCAAACCTGACCGGACAAGAATGGGCAGCGTCGCTTTTGTCCAGCTGGCTCGTTGGAAGGATGACGAGGACGGCGTGGAGGGCAGCGAGCGGAGATAGGAGGACCACGAGGCGAAGGCAGCAGTACAACACTAAAGCCCATCAAGCCGTTCGAGGGTCGATTGGAACAATCTAGTGACTCGGGCTGGAGCCCCAAAACCTCCGCTGGTTCGACATGTCGCCAAATTGGCAACCATGCTGCTGCACGCCATGCTGAGCGCTGGGAGCATGGATCTGCCAGGAGCGGGGGACAAGAAGAGGGCGACGATTCGATGAATGCTGAGAGAGGGGAGAGGCAACACCAACACAAGGGGCTGCCTCCGCTGGGTGAAATTCATCCTAGATTTAGGTCGGGCATGTTCCTCTACAGGCGGAATTGGGATAATAGATTAAGCATTCCAGAGAAATACTCAAACATAACCGAACAATCATAGGGACATCGTCCCCATACTATTGCTTGATTAGTTTTGAATATTTCTCCTGTAGAGGGACACGCCCGACTTAATCCTAGATGTTGGTGTTGGTGGAAATATTAAGACCATCTGGGAAGCCCGAAGATTACCACCATCCCCGAGACTTAGGTCATCTTCGTTCTGTGGAGGCATGCCGCCGATGTTGGTGCTGGTGCCAGCCTCTACGTAAGCGAATTACGCGTCAACGCAACCCGCAACAGACTCAAATAACCGACCTTAGAGGCCCCAGCCCGGAAGCACAACCACGGACATGGTTCTAAGTTCTACGACCCTTCCGGCCCCGCCTCCCAACAGCCTGGACATGTTGCCCCTCGGGGAGCGATCGGACCGTGCATCAACACCCATGACACGCAACTGCTCACAGGTAATCTGCTCTGCGCTCACCCCGCGGGGAGGGAAGGCAGGCACACGGACCAGGAGAAAGCGAAACAGGCGGACGAGCACCGGGAGGAGGAATGCTGAGAGGGAGGCGTGGCAGTACCCTTGGGGCGGCGCGTGCCCCCGATGCACCGCTGCGAACTCGGCGGCCAGGGGGGCAGCACAGGACACGATCAGCGCTGGATGCAGGCACGGGCCGCACTCGGCGCGGACGCTATCGCGTCGGGCGTCGGAGGAAGGCAAGCACACTAACCAAGAGCAAGCGAAACAGGCGGACGAGCACGGGGAGGAGGAACGAGGAGAGGGAGGCGTGGCAGTTCGGGAGCGGCCAAGAGGGGGGTGTCCAAGAGGGAGGGGTGCAAATCATGACCGGCGGCATGTGCGCGGCCCCGCGGGGGGCCAGGGACGTAATGAAATAAGAAGAGGCGCCATGAAATCTGGGGAAATATCATGCCCCCCGCCATGATATCCACCCCCCCCTAGTCATCACCCCCCTCTTTTCCACCCCCGAGCAGTACCCTCGGGGCGGCGCGTGCCCCCGATGCGCCGGTGCGAATTCGGCGGCCAGGGGGGGCAGCACAGGACACGCCTAGCGCCGGATGCAGGCACGGGCCGCGCTCATGGCGCGGGCGCTGTCGCGTCGGGCGTCGGAGGGGCAGTTAGCATAATTCTGCTGTACGTGTGGATGGCGGGAGCTAGATGAAGAGGAGGAGGAGGAGGAGGAGGAGGAGGAGGAGGAGGAGGAGGAGCACTACGACGACGACGACGACGACGACGACGACGACGACGACGAGAACGACTTGGAGGGCAGGGTGACGGCAGTGTGGCAGGTGAGGGCGAGGCACACGAGGAGAGCCGCTTGGAAGAGCGAGGGGGTCCTGAGACCTTCCAGGGGCTACGCTGGGGGCTTCTGGGACCGCCCGGGCGCCGTCTCAGAGCCGCCACTCGGGGGCCCTGTAAAGGGGCCTCTTGGGCTTCTCTTGGGAGCTCCTGGGGGCGTGCTCCTCCTCCGCCCGCCTCGCCCTCCCGGGAGGCACCTGGAGGCCTCGAGGGCCAGAGGGCGGGGTGCAGCGGGGGCGATCCAGAACTGGCGTCGAGCTGGTTTGCTCGACTCGCACACCTTGTCCGAAGCGAGCAGGGCGGCGTGGGGGCGGGGCGGCTGGCAGAGAGGCAACGGGCGGCGGGGGGGGCGCGGGGCAGCGGGGGCTGGCGCGGGGCTTCGCCGAGGCGGCCACCACGGTGGGCAAGCAGGCGGCGAGCTGCTTGGGCAGGCAGCTGGTCATGGAGGCCAGCAGCTCGATGCTTCCCAGCCTCGGCTCTCCCTTCTCTGGCTCGGCGCCAGCGGTCCAGGCTACAGCCGTTTGAGTCCTATCAGTCAGTGAGACTTCCTTCAGAATTTCGTCGAACACAATGCACAGTGGCTCCTGCCCCAAACATGCTGAGAGGCGGGTCGAGAGACGTGTCGTGGACCAACCAGCCTCGGCTCTTTGCTCCCCACCAGCTCGATCTCCTCCTCGGCGCTTCACTGCGAGTGTCGCTGTGCGTAGCAGGGCGGGCCTTGTTGGCTACCGGAGGTCTGGATTGACCGTGCGGACGACGTCGCAAGATGGATCGCACGCTCCGACACGATCACACTGTTCTCTGAGCGGTCGTGCCCGATCTTTGGGCCTGAAGGCACAACCCGAGCGACCGATGCCTGCAGTCCATCTGCGCTTCGCCGAATCCTGTGTGCACCAGGCTCGTCCCAGACGGACTTCCTGGGGGCCCGAGTCACGACGAAGGTTTTGCCACCTATCCTTAAGTCGGGCCTGTCCCCCTACAGGGGGATTTTCGACGAAAAATAAAAAATATCCCCTAAAATAGTCAAAAAATAGTCTGGGGACTATTTTTTGCGTATTGTTCGACCTTTTTGGGAGGATTATTGGGGTCTTTTTGCATTTTTCGTCGAAAATCCCCCTGTATGGGGGACAGGCCCGACATAAACCTGTCCTACAGTGGACGCTGCTTTCTGCGATTCGACCATCGCTACCCCTGCACCTGCTCCGCATCATCCCCCTTCTAACCCTCACGCTCCAACTCCTTGTGCTCCGGCTCCCCCTTCTTCCCCTCTGGCGCGTCCCAAGAGCGGCACAAGCACGCATGACTGGCGACTTCTCTGAACCTCCACAACATGTAGGTCGACCGGCTTCGGGAAGCCTGCTGCGTAGGACCCAAAACATGAAACAACATACCAAGCGTAACAACCGAATCAGGAACACTGCCATCGGACAAGGACGATGGAGTCACGCGTACCCGTTTGTCAAAAGCACTGGGATCAAGGATCAGCCAGGACCAGAAAAGGGGACCCGAAGCAGGAACATCTCCGACAACTAGGCGCGACAATGACGGTTGGGAGCTGCTCGTAACACCGGGGCAAGCACACATCAACGGTAATGGACCCTCTGTTGCATAATGAGCAAGGGCCACGCACCGCAAACACTGTTTGTGGAGAGATCGAGACAGGAACGGCCGAAGCCTAGGTGCTCGTGATGGGCAAGGAGGGCGTACAAGCGAGTTCACGAACCCCTGAACCCAAAAATGCTGCCAACTCTTGGGGGCGCATCTTTGACTTCCGCCCGCTTCGCGCCAGCCTTCTCCCTGCTTCCGCTGGCAGAGCCGCGCCCGTTTAGCTTGTGCCAGCTTCCGCCGAGGAAGAGATGACAACTCCTTCGATCTTCGACAGCGAGGTCCTTTCTGGAGCGCCTCGAATACGGGCTTGCTCTCTCCAGCCCCCCTCCTCAGATTCAGCATTTTTCCCCGTTCCCAGGCGGGACGCCATGCGAGGCCAAATCGCCAAACCCTGCCGTCTCTCATCCACCGGCCTTTCGACATCATCTCTCTTTCTTTGGCAAAGCCTAGCGCCCCCCCTATGAATATGCATTCTCAACTCTCAACCCCAACTCGCCTTGCGCCGTTTGGCGCCGGAACGTGTTTCGACAGAACGCCTCACTATCGCCGATGCAGCTTTCCGCGCCGAATCGGTCGCCTGATGGGCTCTCTGAGGCCGAAAGATCGAATCATCGACCGCAGTGGCTTTTCACCATAATGGGAATCGAGGTTGGGGAGGAGGAGGAGGAGGAGGAGGACGAGAATGAACGTTATGAGAATAAGGTCGGGAACACGAACTCACAACTGCCTGCTCCGTGTGCAAAACAAGCGCGCTCGACCGCTATCGCTGCCGTGGGCAGGTGTCGGCGCCATCAGTCGCAGAGGTGTCTCCGACACGTCGGTCGCCCCTTGCTTGAGCCGACCCTAGGCTTAAGTCGGGCCTGTGCCCCTACGGGGGGATTTTCTACGAAAAATAGAAAATACCCCAAAAATAATCCAAAAATAATCCAAAAATAGTCTGGGACTATTTTTTGAGAATTTTTGACATTTTTGGAGTATGTTTGGGGTATTTTTTATTTTTCGTCGAAAATCCCCCTGTAGGGGGACACGCCCGACATAACCCTAGGCCCTGGGCCCGACCGAACTTGTCTGGGTGGTCGCAATCATAACTCACACCTGCAAAGGCGTCACCCCGACACGGCGGGTGCCCAACTGGGCATCCAACCTCTGCACGTGCCGACCAATACCCACCGGCTGTTGGGCGTCTGCAGCCGGTGCAGCGCTCCTCTCAGCCCAGTGGGCATACCTCAGTGCCTTCCGTTGCATGCCTCGGATTGCGATGCTCTTTAGGTGTGCGCGCATGGCCTGGCCGCGCCCTGGAAGAGACTCGGCAATACGAGCGGTGTGACGAACATGACTTCGTCCCTGTGGGCACTGGGCGGCAGCACAAGAGCCAGCCGCGTGGATCCTCCGCGCACCGCGCAAGCACCGCCGCGGCCGGGCCTGGAGGAGCGCCTCGTGCTTTGCCGCGTTCTCCCTCCCGTTGAGCCGCACATGGGGCGCAGCGTCGAATGGCGGCCGCATCGCGGAGATCTCTGATCCAAATCCTCGCACTTCGAGGAGGGGGCGGAAGACCTGCGAACTGATCAGAGCCATCCGCCGGAGCAGCGTAAGTTTGGCCAGCAGCGGCGTGATGAGCAAATCCCACCCACTCCCGCACTTCGTGCAATCAGACTGTTCGACCCTTCTGCGTCCTCGCAGCGGCTGTCAGGGCAATAATATGGTCGTGCCTACTCCTGCTCTCCAACCCAGTGATGGTAATGATTCAAGTGTTTCTGGCTGATTCCCAACGTGCTGTGCGTTCGTACCTCCGCTGGCGTACGGATTTCATGGGCGAATGTCTTGGGAAATAAATGGTTGCATCAACAGCTTTTGTGTACAACGACTTTTCGGCCTCCGCTTCCTCCGACGCCTGGCCCGACGCCGAATCCAATACTTGTGTTCCTCACACCCACGTCATATTTTCTGTTGGCCCAATTACAATCTGCGGCGATTGTTCCGACGCCTGTTTCGACGCCAGTTCCGACACTGCATCGACCAGCAGGCCAATGCAAGAAGGCAATGGTTGAAAACATGGGCGTGCACGGAACGACTGAGTATTGCGAACACGTTCTTTTCGAAAAGGCCTATTTGCAAAGTCACGCACCACGGAGCGAATGGGAACCAGCGACAGATATATTATATCTTGATAGATTCAAAATGTTGGGGAAACTTGAAAGATTCTGGAACGACCCAGCGTCTCAATATGGGGAGTGACCACAAGCCTGTTTATCTGTCTATGCGCATAGGCCACCGGACGCGTCGAGACAACAAGTCGCAGAAGCCCGCTGTTGATTGGTCATGTGTTGATATCTCTACATATGTTGTCAAAGTGCGAGAAGCTTGTGGCGATTGGACTACCCCAGAGAACGCGGATGCAATGTGCGATAATATTGAAAACCTAATGGTGGATGCAGCCGGCAGGGCTCAAGGAACTCATGGCGACCCTCGGCCGAGAGACCGTAGAGATACCGATCTGCAACGTCTTTTGGAACAGAGAAAGGCAATGACGAACTCTTGTGGCGAGAGGAAGGCATTGAGCAAGCAAATTTCCAGACAGGTCTGCGCAATGCGAAGAGCCAACTCGACAAAACGAATTAACGGCATCTTGGGATCGTTTCGAGGTGTACGCCAAGTCCCGAAGGTAAAATATATCAAAAGGAAGAGCTTGATTTCCCACATGGTTGACGACGACGGGAACACGATCACTGACAGGAGATCGATGCAGATGTGTGTGCCGACTTTTACGCGCAGCTCTATCGCGAATATGATTCTCAAGAGCCAGCTAACAAGGAGGACAACGTCAAGAGCCCAATTCCCGAGTTTACCTTAGCAGAGCTCCGAGCGCAGATCAACAAACTGAAGCGTGGGAAATGTAAGGACCAAAGGGGGGTCATTGCCGAAATGATCAAGCATGGCGGCGAACAGTTGGAGCTCTTGATATTGAAGTTGTTCAACGACATCATCTCGGCAACCGGCGTTCCACCAAGCAGCTGGAAGAAATCTATAGCTCCTGTCTTACATAAGTCTGGAGACGCAACACTTGCTCGCAATTACAGGCCCATCACGGTCATACCATTATTGTATAAGCTTTTTGCCAAACTACTGCACTCTCACTTGTTTCCCGTTCTGGACGCGCGCCAAGGAGTTGATCAAGCAGGCTTCAGTCCAAATGTGGGTACGACGCACCATTTGTTCGCGGTCACAATGTTGCAAGAGAAGTGCCATGAATGGCAACAGTGTGTATGAATATCTGCAATCGACTTTCAGAAAGCATTCGATTCGGTCAAGCACAAATGCATATGGGAGGCTCTGGAACGACAGGGCGTCACAGACGGATACGTTCAATTGCTGAAGAGTTTGTATTCTGGACAATCGGGAAGAGTACGCACCGACCGCATGAGCAAGGAGTTCGACATCTTGCGCGGCACCAAGCAAGGCGACCCGCTCAGCAGCTTGCTATTTAACGCAGTCCTGGAAGATATCTTTGCTGAGGTCAGGCCAGCTTGGGAAAAGAAGTCTTGGGGATTGAGAATGGGTTACAGCAAGCACCGGCAGCTTACCAATCTACGCTTCGGAGATGCCGTTATGCTCATTGGAACGTCCTTACGTCAACTGAATATCATGTTAGATGATCTACAGAAGGCAGCCCAAAAACGTGGATTGCTACTCCACCCAGACAAAACGAAAATCTTGACGAACGCAACCAAAGGCACCGGGCGCCCAAGAACATCGCACGTGCAAGTCGGAGACATGAACATTGAGATTGTGCCGTACGAGGAGAAAACGAAGTACTTGGGAAGGCAGTGATGCTTTGATCGACCACACAACGTTGAAGTTGATCACCGGATCAACATGGCATGGAAGAGTTTTATGGCGCAGCGTGCATAACTGGTAATTAATATGTGTTCTCTGAATGTTCGTTTGAAGGTTTTTGACGCCACGGTGTCCAACGTCCTCTTGTACGGCAGGGCAACGTGGGTGCTGACGCACGAGCTGACTGACAAGCTGCGCCGGGTGCAGCGGAAGATGCTGCGCATGATCTACGGTAGCCGTCGCCGGCCGGTGGCCGCATGTGTTCCACCTACTCCCATGTCATCACCAGAATCAGTGTCATGATATGAGTCGGCATCTGATCGTGCTCCTGTTGTGGAACCATGGGCAGAGTGCTGTCTGAGAGCCACTCACGAGGTCGAGGAAAGATGCAGGCGACTCGGCGTTCGTGACTGGATTGAAAGCCACAGGTCTGCAGCAACACAATGGTACAGAAAGATGCAAGAGGCGGGAGACAGCTGGGCTTACCGTGCATTCATATGGGAACCTCTTGGGCTGACGAGACGGTCACACAGACCGAGAAAGAGGTGGATCGACGCCGTGCTAACGTACATCTGAGGGCCGGAGCAGAGGCTCCGCCGCGCCTCCCGCGTAGGGACGGCTTCCGGGCCGGTGGGCGCGTGTGTGTGTGTGTGTGTGTGTGTGTGTGCGTCGACCCGCAGGATTTGAGGTACCACGTCGGCACACCCCAAGTCTGAATTGGCCGCAGACTTGCCACAACGTGGAGGCATTACGGCGGTGCACCCTGAAGAGAGTAATGCCTCTCTTCCGCTAGGCGTTCGAACTTTGACTGTGAGTTGACCGTGGTTAGCGGGCGAGCGCGAAAAAGGTGTTGGCTTCTGAATCGAACGAATTGCACAACACGTTGCGGCAAGCCTGGCTTTTCGCCACGGAGGAGCGGGAGAGGAGTGATCGCCGACGACCGCCGCTGCCCTAGCGGGGAGGAGGGAAGCGTCGGAGAAGTCCAGCAGCGTCGCCTCGTCGAGCCCGCACCCTGCGCCTGGCTTCAGTGAAGGGGAATTGGGACACACAAATAAATACACACAAATAAAATAATTCCCAATATTTTCCCATATTTTCTGGGTTTCTGTCTTCCCCCCCACTTCCCATATTTTCCCATATTTTCTGGGGAATCGACGATCAATTGTGTCTGTGTGTTTCTTTCCCTCCTGCTTCCGGGGCACCCCCGAGAGGGCGGGCAGAGCGGCGGGAAGGCTCCGGGCGACACTAGATGGAAGGCAGATCGAGAGCCTGCGTCAACGGAGCCTTGTGTGAATGGGGTCATCGCCGAGGAGGCAGTGAAGGACGAACGGCGCGCTTCTTTCCTTTCGGCGACAATGGGCGTTGTAAGCGGGGGGGCGGGGGGGTACAACGTAACGCCCCCCCCCGCCGTGTGGCTCCGGCACCACAGGAGCCGTTTCTTGTTTTTATTTTCCGGGATCGTGGCCGTCATCGACCCCGCACCCCCCGAGATGGTGTCACGTTCCGAGCCGGCGGCGTCCAGGAGTGCCTAAGGATGAACAGGGGCAACTACGAGCAGCATGTATGTGGCGATCTGCCCCACAGCGCATGTGCACACCACAATGCTCGCGTGCACCACAGCGCGCGTGTACACCACCGCGCCTGCGTACACCGCGACAGCCGTGTGCAGCGCCTGTGTACACCACAGCGCGCGCGTGCACCACAGCGCCAGTGTACACCACGGCGAACGTGTACACCGCAGCAACAATGTGCAACACAGCGCCTGAGTACATCACGTTGCTTGCGTGCACCGCAGCGCCCGTGCACACCACAGCGCCTGTCTACACCACAACATCTGCGTGCAACGCAGCGTCGGTGTACACCACAATGCCTGCTTGCACAGGACAGGTAGAAGGAGCAAGTAGGTGAGGACCTGCTGCGGACACCTGAACACCACGCCAGGGAAGTGCTGCTACTAGAATGCGACGTTCTTCCATCATCCTTCCTCATCCACCTCCACTTCAGCCTCCTTTCCTCCTTTTCCTCCTCCTCCTCGCCCTCGTCCTCGCTCACCCTTCCCCCCTGACGTGCGGGTCCGCGCTGCATCGCAAATTGCGCATCTCAGCGTGAACCGCAGAATGGTCGATTGAATCCATCCATTTGGTTCTCGGACAGCCGATTCTGCTGGAGCCTCCTGGAAGCGAATGGGAGGAGCTAGGATGATGCGGGAAGAGTCGGGAGGACTTGTAGATTCCAGCTGCGTTCCATTTTCCATAAGGACTCCTTTCCAAATCCTACATAAAACCATTGTTTTCTGCAGAATCCACTGCCACTCCATTTTGTCATATTATTTTTGAAATTCTGTATGCAACAGTGGTGCTCCGTTGCGCACGGTTGCTGCGGAGTACGCAGGCGCCGTGGTTTACACAGGCGCTGCTGTAGTGCACGCAGGCATTGTGGTGTACTCTGGTGTTGTGTTGCACATGGCTGATGTGGTGTTGGTGTGCACAAGCGCTGTGGTACTCGCGAGCAGTGTGACACACACTGGCGCTGTGTTGCACGCGGCTGCTGTGGTGTACGTTGGCGGTGTGGTGTACGCAGGCGCTGTGGTGTACGCAAGCACTGTGGTGTACACAGGCGCTGTGGTGCAGATCTCCACCTACATTCTACTACTACCCATCCTTGTCCATTCCTAGTCATTCCCAAACGCCGCCTGCGCGAAACCTGACGTCATCGCCCCCCTTCCCCCCCAAATGACGGCCGTCATCGGCCCGGAATAAAAAAAGAGGATCCAGCCGCATCCGCGCACACCACGACGATGAGCGACGAGCGACGAGCGACGAGCGACGACGACGACGACGACGACGACGACGACCGGCAGTGCCCGGGGCGCACCTGGGAGGGGGGGGGGGCGTTACTTTGTAGGGGGTGGGGGGCGCCGGGGGCTATCATGCCCATTTTGCCCCAAGCAGTACAGAAACACCCTCGAAGTCGATGACCGCTGCTGCCAGCGGGTGGAGGGGGCGCCCCACGCGTCCGCGATGGGCAATGCAGCGATCGTCCTACCGAACGTGCTCACGAGGCACATTCGGTAGGGGCGCGGCTTGGCCCCAGGCTTGGTCTTCCACTGCTTGTCCTGGATGCCCTCCAGGAGGGGCTTCAAGACCTGTGTGGAGGGCCACCCGGCGAGCCCCCGCGAGAATGCACGGGAGAGGGAAGGAGGGAGGGGAGAGGTCGCGGGCGAAGGCGCAGAGGAGGAAGAGGGAAACGTGTGGGATACATACACGCCTGTCTCTTTTGTTTTGTTGTTTCTTTTTTTTTGTTCTCTCTCTCTCTCTCTCTCTCTCTCTCCCTCCACACACACATATAAATATACATAGCATTGACGTGTGTGTGTGTGTGTGTGTGTCTTCTCTCTCTCTCTCTCGCTCTCTGCCCCTCTCTCACAGGTCTCTCAGTCTTAGTGTCAATCTCGATGTTCGCCTCAAAATCAGTCACAATATCTCTCTCTCTGTCTCCCTTGATTCCTGTATCGATCGACTTCTTGACAGCAAGTCAGGCGGCCAGGAATTCCCCTGGAAGAGAGAAAGCCACTGCGGCCCCTCGCCGCAAGCTCTCGCTATGGCAGCCCGAGCCCCGCGCTAACGGCTCGACCGCACAGGACATCCTCGGACTCCGGCAGGCGCATGCGGATGCGGACGAGAGCAAGGCGAGGAGAGGTGGGAAGGGAGGACGGGGAGACGAAGCAGTAGGAGGGGGCGAGGAAGACGAAGACTGGGCGGGAGCGGAGGAGGAGGAAGAAACGACGAGGAAGAAGGATGGTTCGCTTGTGGGTGGGGTGGAACCGGGCGGGCGCGGAGGAGGACCAGAGAAGGAGGAAGGAATGTTCGCTTCTGGAGGGTGATCCGCTACGCGGTGGCTCGCTGCACGTCTTACGCCGCCGGGGCGGTGCGGCCTGCTTCACTCCTGGCCCGCTGAGCTGCGACATCATCACCTTCGCTGCAGTCTGCGATGCAGCCTCGGCGCGGGCCGACGATGGGGGAGCGGGAGGAGGGGACGGATGAGGACAAGGCGGGGGAAGAGCAGCAGGAGGCGGAACAGGGGGAAGAGGGGGAGGAGGAGGACGGGGAGGAGGAGGACGGGGAGGAGGAGGAGGAGGAGGAGGAGGAGGAGGAGGAGGAGGAGGAGGAGGAGGAGGAGAAAGGGGAGGAGGAGGAGGAGGAGGAGGAGGAGGAGGAGGAGGAGGAGGAGGACGAGGAGAAGGAGGAGAGGTGCGCAGAACACGTCGACGACGGCCGCGCTCGCCGAGTTCCTGCCACGACCAGGGGGGGCCGGGGGGAGCGGACGAGGTGAGCGGCTCCCCGCCAGGGCACCCCGCCGACGGCCCGAATAAGGTGGCGCGCGCCGGTTTCGGCCGCCCGAAGTGGGTACGAACGGCAACATGGGTACGAGGCCGAACAACACTGAAGGGGCCCTGGGACACACAAGTAAATACACACAAATAAAAAGATTCTCCATATCTTCCTATATTTTCTGGGTTCTCGTCTTCCCCCCCATTTACCATATTTTCGCATATTTTCTGGGAATCGACGAATCATTGTGTCTGTGTGTTTTTTCCCCTCCTGAAACACATGATGTCCAAAACCAGCAGCGGCCGCTGGTGGGTGGCCGGCCGTCTGTCTCAAAGGGACAACATCCGCGGGGATACCGACAGCGAGTCCAGTTCAAAATGAACAGGAACTGCTGGCGGTCTTCGTCACCATTCTTTCCGTACCCACTTCGATCGTACCGAGAACCGAAGCCGGCGTCGGGGCGCGGGAAGCGAGGAAGCGCGAGGGTGAAGCAGGGGCGTGCGGGAGCACAGCGGACACGGTGGTTGGCGAGCGGGAGCATGCGAGAGAGGGCGCGGCTGGCGCGAGGGGGACGGGGGGGGGGCGAAGTGGAGATCAGAACAAACCACCCTCAAAATGAGCATTCCGACAAGCGAAGCCATTTTAGTAAGCGCTCCCAAGAAAGGAATCAAATAGGACAAGGCTTTTTCGTAAACGCCCAGTGCCGATTAGTAAACGCCAATGTTGGGGGTCGGGGTGGTTTTTCCTCCCGTGGCAAGGAAGAAAAGGAGGAATACTGAAAACGATCACGTCAAGGTGCGCTGGCAGTCAGGACCGGTGGAAGCCTCGGGGTCGGGCATTGGCAGGACTGGGTTCAATGGGACCTAGTTTAATGATGTCCACTAACCAGAACTGCCGTCACTGCACTGCAGTCCACTAACCAGAACTGCCGTCACCTGAGAATTACAGGCTATGGCAGACCCCAATTAATGATTCGGACATTTTGGGGGCCTCGGGGCCCTATTACTGACCGGCTCCCCTTGCCGGGGGCCCTGGCTTTACCCGAGGGCTACAGTGAAAGGGGCCACTGGAACGACCATAGCGCACGAGGGCGCGCGCTGGCGGGCTGACTGGGCCTCCTGTCGGCGTCTACCTCCTCGACCCTCCTCCTCCTCCTCCTCCTCCTCCTCCTCCTCCTCCTCCTCCTCCCTCCTCCTCCTCCTCCTCCTCCTCCTCCTCCTCCTCCTCCTCCTCCTCCTCCTCCCCCCCCCCCTCCTCCTCCCCCTCCTCCTACTCGATCCTCGATCCTTCTGGCGCCGAACCCTCGGCGGGAGGGCCGCGCGGACCGGCGGCAAGCGGGCGAGCGGCGTGGGCTGCTCGGCACGCAGGCGGCCTCCCTGATGCGGGCCCGCACAGAGCCCCGGAGGTCGCAGGCCCAGCCAGGAGGAGTGCTCTGGAGATTTTCTTTGCGTGTTGTAATATATGTTTGGCCCCAAAAAAGGAAGGTGATTGATCTTCTGATTGAGCCTGCCCAGTCCCGCCGCCCCCCCCCCCCCCTCCTCCTCCTCCTCCGCCTCCTCCTCCTCCTCCTCCCCCTCCCCCTCCTCCCCCTCCTCCTCCTCCCCTCCTCCTCCTCCTCCTCCTCCTCCTCCTCCTCCTCCCCCTCTTCCGACAGCACGTGCCCAACCACCCCAGCGGATCCAAAGGGGGGGGATCATTGCCCGATCCAGAGCAAAAAAGCAACAACGGCATGAACATGGTTTCTCGCAGGTCCGGTCCGCTCGGAATCCTTGGACCTGCGCCGGGCGCGCGCGGAGCGCGCCAGGGGCTGTGCCAGCGGCTCCGCCAGAGGGCCCAGCGCAGATCCAAGACACCCACGCGGACCTTCGATAAATCATAGTTATGCCGCTTTGGTGATTCGGAAGGGTGCTGGAGCCCTGGAGGTCGCATGTCTGGCCAGGAGGAAGGCCAGGGCTGATGCGAGCCAAAGAAGTTTAGGGGCCCCGGGGGACGCCAACTGGCCCCTTTTCCCATATATCCTGGATGCCCCCGTTCCCCTCCAGTTCGTATGTTTTTTCCAGATGTTCATGACAATCAGCGTGTCTTTGTGTGTGTGTGTCTGTGTTTGAGTGTGTGTGTGTGTGTGTGTGTGTGTGTGTGTGTGTGTGTGTGTGTGTGTGTGTGTGTGTGTGTGTGTGTGTGTGTGTGTGTGTGTGTGTGTGTGTGTGTGTGTGTGTGTGTGTGTGTGTGTGTGTGTGTGTGTGTGTTTTCCAGATGTTCACGATAATCAGCGTGTCTTGGTGTGTGTGTGTCTGTGTGTGCTTGCTTTTTCCCTCCTGAAAGAGGAAGGCCAGGGCGAGTCCAACGATTAAGATAACGCCGCCGCTGGGGCCAAAGATAATACAGGCTTGAGCGGCGACGGACCGCTGGGGCCGCGTCTCTCGACCTCTCCCACGAAGCACAGCAAGCAGCACAGGAGCTGAGACGCCAGCTGGGGGTCACAATGCCAGGGGGGCGGAAGAATCATACATCTTTCGCCGCTGGGAACGCTTCCCCCCCCCCCCACCCCCCTGCGACGGGGCGGGGGGGGGGGGGGCTAGGGGGGTCACCCCTGCATGATTCCGGGGCTGGCACTGCATGGCCGGGCACGGCGGTGGCGAGGGGGAGGTTTTTCCTGGCGGCGGCTTCGCGAAGTAGTTTTTTGCCCGTGCTTCAGCCACGGGCGCAGGAGAAGCGCGAGGCTGGCGATGGAGCCCCGTGGTGATGCTGGGCGCAGCGCCACCGTGGGCAGCGCCCACCTCTCGAGAGAACGGCCTGCGCAGGCAGCGTGCCGCCGCCATCATCTCCCACGGCGTGCCGCCTCAGCGCTGCCCGCAGTCGGGAAGCATATCCGCGGCCCCGCGGGCCCGGGCACCAGGGCCGGAACCCCGCGGGTACGGAGCGTACTTTTTAGCGGATGCCCCGCCTGGAACGTCTCCGCATCCGCGGGATCGCGCCCCGGAGTCCAGACCGCGAGGACGCGGATACGGAGAGATATGTTCGCCGCTCCTGAGCCGCAGCCCGCACTCCTCTTCGTTCTGCTCCTCCTCTCCTGGGGCGAGCGCCCGACGCGACCTGCGCCCCGCCTGCGCGCTTCGCTCGCCGGCTCGACCCCGCTCGGCGCAGCCCGCGGTGGCCTGGCAGGGCGGACGCCGCGGCCCCCGGCTGGCCTTGGGGAACTCAAAAGGCACCGACACCGTTGCTCCCCAGAACTCTCCAGGGGTGCGCTCTGACCAGGATTTCGAGGCGAAGCCAGCGGTGGTGACGAGGGCCTCCCAGGAGGCCCAAAACGGGGCAAACGGGCGAAGGGTAGAGGCGTGGGTACTGCGGGCAATAATTATATCCACATCCAGAGCGTCTTGGATTCTTGGGCTCTCTTCCCCAGAAACCGTAGACGCACTGGATATGGATAAAAATCTGGCCCCAAGAGGCTTGATTGTATCCATATCCAGCGCGCCTCGGCGTTGCGGCACCTCTTCCCGAAAAGTCCACGACGCTCTGGATATGGATATAAGTACTGCCCGCAGGTACCTTTCCCTCCTCGCAGGCCCAGGCCCGTCGTCGTGCTTGGCGTCGTCACCCTCGAACTCGCTGCAGGGGTCGGGCGGCCGCCGGCCCGTCGGCGCTCCTCACCTCGGGCGCCGCTCCCGGGCCCGGCCTCTGCCCGTGCCCTTCTTGCCCTCGCCCCCGCCCCTGCAGGGGCCGTCCCGGAAGAGCGTCACGCAGCGGTCCGGCCCCTCTCCGGCCGAGGCGGAGAAGAGTCCTGAGGGAGCCACCCCAGGCATTAGGAGGCAACTGCTGGGAGGTTTTCGTCGGAAAGATTAAGGAGGATGAAGCCCCATTTGGGAGCTGTTACGCCGGAATGGGCCTCGGATTAAGCGGGATTAAGCTGGATTGAACGGGATTAAGCGGGATTAAGCGGGATTTAGCTGGATTAAGCCGAATTTCGGACCAGGGCGAAAACAGAATTTGACCTCCCAAGAGTTGCATCTGAACAGGCACGATCGTCGCGTCGTGGCAAAAATCAGGAGGGAGGTGCTTCGCCGTTGTCTTTAAGGCTCTTCACCGGAAGAGGCCCGCTCTCGACCCGCAGACCAAAAAAAAGTTGTTCGCCGTTCTCGGCCCCGGGGGGGGTCGCTCGCCGGTCCCTGGGACCGTAGAGAGCCTGTTTTTTTACCTAACAGCTTTTGCTGATAGGTTTCTAGTGGTGTCAAAAGTGAGCATCTGGACTCCACAAGGGGGTCTGGGCGGGTGCCGGGGAGGAGGGCCGGGAACAGAGCCGGGCTCGTTTTAAGCCAACAGTCACACACTTCGTGCTCTTCGACCTCCCAGAACTCCATTCCCGGGCCACATTTTGAATAACCGGAGCCAACAGTCACACACTTCGTGCTCTTCGACCTCCCAGAACTCCATTCCCGGGCCGCATTTTGGATGCCCGGAGCCAACTGTAGGCCACTTCGTGCTCTTCGAGTTCCCAGAACTCCATTCCCGGGCCACATTTTGGATGCCCGGAGCCAACTGTAGGCCACTTCGTGCTCTTCGAGTTCCCAGAACTCCATTCCCGGGCCACATTTTGAATGCCCGGAGCCAACTGTAGGCCACTTCGTGGTCTTCGAGTTCCCAGAACTCCATTCCTGGGCATGATTTTGAATGCCCGGAGCCAACTGTAGGCCACTTCGTGTTCTTCGAGTTCCCAGAACTCCATTCCCGGGCCACATTTTGAATGCTGAGGCAGGCTGAGGCTGAGGCTGAGGCAGGCTGAGGCTGAGGCAGGCTGAGGCTGAGGCCGAGGCTGAAGGCAGACTGAGGCTGAGGCTGAAGCAGGCTGAGGCTGAGGCAGGCTGAGGCTGAGGCTGAGGCAGGCTGATGCTGAGGCAGGCTGAGGCTGAGGCTGAGGCTGATGCAGGCTGAGGCTGAGGCAGGCTGAGGCTGAGGCCGAGGCTGAAGGCAGACTGAGGCTGAGGCTGAAGCAGGCTGAGGCTGAGGCTGAGGCAGGCTGAGGCTGAGGCAGGCTGAGGCTGAGGCTGAGGCTGAGGCTGAGGCAGGCTGCAGGCTGAGGCTGAGGCAGGCTGAGGCTGAGGCCGAGGCTGAGGCAGACTGAGGCTGAGGCTGAAGCAGGCTGAGGCTGAGGCTGAGGCAGGCTGAGGCTGAGGCTGAGGCAGGCTGATGCTGAGGCAGGCTGAGGCTGAGGCTGAGGCTGATGCAGGCTGAGGCTGAGGCAGGCTGAGGCTGAGGCCGAGGCTGAAGGCAGACTGAGGCTGAGGCTGAAGCAGGCTGAGGCTGAGGCTGAGGCAGGCTGAGGCTGAGGCTGAGGCAGGCTGATGCTGAGGCAGGCTGAGGCTGAGGCTGAGGCTGATGCAGGCTGAGGCTGAGGCAGGCGGAGGCTGAGGCGAGGCTGAAGGCAGACTGAGGCTGAGGCTGAAGCAGGCTGAGGCTGAGGCTGAGGCAGGCTGAGGCTGAGGGCTGAGGCAGGCTGAGGCTGAGGCTGTGACTGCGACTGCCGTTGCCACTGCGACTGTCATCGCGAATGCGACTACGACTGCGAGAATCAGCAGATATTCCTACAACTGGATTCCGTCTGCCCCCACCCCCCGGGCTTGCTTCAGGCTCAGCCCCCCCCCCCCCCGTCCATGCAAGTAAACTTGCCAGAGTCTAAAAAAAACAGGCTCGTAGAAAAACAACTCAGGATGAAAAACCGGCCCCGGGGAAAGGGTCAAGGACTTCGGATGACGCCGTCCTGCACAAAACCAGGACGTCACAGGTCTGGGACCAGTAGGGCACCGACGCCAATGCCGCTGCTTCCCCGACCTCTCCCGGGGTGCGTTCTGACCCATGTTTCGAGGCCAATCAATCTGTGGCGACGAGGGATCTCCAGGACGAGCAGTAGTATCGGTGTCTTCCCAGATATCCGATGTCATGATTTGTTCCATGCGCGGTCCCCTGAAGTCCCGACCCCTTCCCGAGGGCTAGTTTTTCATCGCGAGCCGTCTTTTGACTGTCCTGGGGCCCGGCGAGGGCCCCTGGACGCCGAAATCGACAAACCGCGGTTCGCCGTATCGTGTTCCACGACGCTGGCATGCCCTGGTCGGTATCTTTTTCCCCTCGGAACTCCATTCTTCTTGGCCTCGTCGTGCACCAAAGACCGCTCCCTGGAGCTGAGCCCGGGCAGGGCGAGCTCGGCGTCACCGCTGGCCGCGAAGGCGGACACCCGCTCGGACAGCCCGAGCGCTGTGCCCCGGCGGTCTTCGGTCAGAGGCTCCGCGAGCTGCGCCGCCTCATCTGCTTCGGGGGAGGGCCAAAGCGGAGACCACGGCGGCCCACCCCTGAGATCCTGGCGTTGTATTTCTTTGGCGTTCAGTCGGGCCTGTCCCCCTACAGGGGGATTTTCGACGAAAAATAAAAAATGCACCAACAATAATCAAAACATAGTCCAAAAATAGTCCAGGGACTATTTTCTTTTTTAGTATTTTTGGACCCTTTGGGGGCATTTTTGGTGTATTGTTTGATTTTTTGTCTAGACTCCCCTTGTAGGGGGACGCGCCCGACATAAGCCACAGCAGAGACAACGGCGGCCCACCCCTGCGATCCTGGCGTCATCTGTTGTTGGCGCCGGGCGACTTCTTCTAGTTTGGGGCTTTGGGGCCCTCGCAGATTTTTTTTGTTGTTGTTCTTTCTTCGCACGGCAAAACTTCATTCGCGCGGCAACTCATGGCGTGAGCGTGCGTGGACGCACGGCTTAGCACGCACTGGGAGGATGCACTACAGAAACTACTTCTAGCTGCTGGAGTTGCTGCGGCGACTACTTCTAGCACTGGAGTTGCTACAGGCCCTCGTAGATCGATCCAGCTCGATGGGGTCCCGGACTCTGGTCAGGACCTCCCCACGCTTTGCCTCTCGCTGCGTCGGGGCTCCAAGACTCCCGCCTCCGCCAGCTTTCTGCCCTCTTTGGGGCATGCTGTGAGTTGTGGGTGAGGGCTCCTCCAGCTCACTGGCCTTCGCCAGTCACCCTCTTCTTTTGAGGTCAGCGGGGTGAACCATTCGCCCGCCCCTCCCTCTTGGGCCCTCTCCCTAGGCGGCTACGCCCCAGGTTTCGCCGCCCCCGCAGCGTGACATGCCGACGGATGGGGGTCGCCCCTCGTCCGCTGCGGCCGAGGCCTCCGGACAAAAAACAGCGGCGGCCCTCTCTGGCATTTTTGTTTCTTTTGGCTGGCGGCGCGCAGAGGGGGGAAGGGGGAGCGGGGAAGGCTTCTTAGAAGGATGCTGCTTCTCAGACGGCGCCCGCCTTCCATCTACAGAGAAGGCCCGCGCCTTCTAGGAGGCAGGCATGCTTCTGAGAAGTCTTCCCCCCTCCCCCTGCCCCCTCTGCGCGTGGCCGATGTGGGTCACCCTCCCTTCCCCTTCACATCAGCACGGTTTCCCCCGGGGTCGTGGGCGACCCGAGGAGGAGGAAAAGGAGGAGGAGGAGGAGGAGGAGGAGGAGGAGGCGGAGGGGAGGAGGAGGAGGAGGAGGAGGGAGGAGGAGGAGGAGGAGAGGAGGAAGAGGAGGAAGGAGGAGGAGGAGGAGGAGGAGGGAGGAGGAGGAGGAGGGAGGGAGGGAGGGAGGAGGGAGGGAGGGAGGGAGGGAGGAGGGAGGGAGGGAGGGAGGGAGGGAGGGAGGGAGGGAGGGAGGGAGGGAGGGAGGGAGGGAGGGAGGAGGAGGAGGAGGAGGAGGAGGAGGAGGAGGAGGAGGAGGAGGAGGGAGGAGGAGGAGGAGGGAGGAGGAGGGAGGAGGAGAGGAGGAGGAGGAGGAGGAGGAGAGGGAGGAGGAGGAGGAGGAGGAGGAGGAGGAGGAGGAGGAGGAAAGGAGGAGGAGAGGAGGGATAGGAGATGAGGAGGAGGAGGAGAGGAGGATGGAGGGGGGGAGGGGGAGAGGGGGAGGAGGAGGAGGAGGAGGAGGAGGAGGAGGAGGAGGAGGAAAAGCTCTGGCCGCTCGGGAGGAGGTCCGGGGGCCGCACTCGGGCGGATCTCTTGTGGGCCGGGCGGGGGGCCGCCGTGGCCTCTCGCCTGGCCCTCCTCCGGCTGGCACCGTCCACGAGGACCTCCCCGTGGCCTGGTGGAAGAAGTATGTCCCACCGGTCGCAGGATCTCTCAGGGGAGCGAAGGACGACAGAGCCCTGAGAACTCGGAGGTGTGCGCGGATTTCTCGGATCCGCGCTGGAGCCCCCTCCCCGGCGCGCGGAGCGCGCCAGGGGCGGCGCTGGAGGCGCCGCCAGGGGGGTCCAGCGCGGATCTGGGAAATCCGCGCGCACCTGTGAGTTGTTCGGTTTATGTCATTGTTCGTTCCCCTGTCTTTGGCGCTCTCCCACCCAGGAGGCAGGTCGACCTTCGGGCGTGTGGCAACGAGGGATGACCTGCCTTGGGGGGTGAAGGAAGCGGCTCTGAATGGGCCTTTTAGGGACCGTTTGGGCTCCAGAAGGGGCTCCAAAGATGTAGGGCCTTTCCCAGACCCCCGACGTCACGATTTTTTCATGACGTCGACCCCCAGAGGTCTTGACCCCCTCCCCGGGACCGGTTTCTCATCCCGAGTCGTCTTTTGACGGCCCCGAGGCCTGGTAAGGGCCCCGAGAGGCCGGAAATTGTGAAAAGCCTCCCGTCGTGATTTGTTCATTGCTCGAGGGGGTCTGGGCTCTCTTCGCCCCCCCATTCAGGTCCCCCCCCAGTATCACCCGCCCGAGTCCTGTCTCTCGGAGGTGGTCGACGGCGCCGGCTGGCTCCAGCTGGTCTCGCCCGAGGCACTGTTGAAATCCGCCACCGCGCCAGCGGAGCCCGCGCTGGAGGGTCCTCAGGTCCCCTGCTCTATTCGGCGGAGAGCTCGGGGGGGAAGCGATGAGGAGAAGGCCTGTTCAGACGGCTCGGAAGTCACCCGACCTTCTGAGAAGTGCCCCGGGCCTTCCCCGCTTCCCCGAAGACGCAGAGCACTTCTCAGAAGGCCCGAGCGCTTCTGAGAAGTCCCGCCGCCCTCTGCGACGACCTCCTCCTTCTCGCTTCGCCCCCCTCGCTCACCGCCGAGAAATCCACGGAGCCTCAGTCCGAAATTCTGGGGATCTTTTCCTAGAAGGCCCGGGACTCAGATTTTTGCAGATCTCCTGTGCCCCCCCGGCGGGCCGAGGACGTCTTCCCGCAGGAGCTCGCTTGGCCCGCAGGAGCCCCACGACGAGCCGAGAGGCCTCTGACCTACAACCAGGGCGCGTCTGTGGAAACCCCTGGGAGCCTCCTATGTCATCTGGCTGGCTCTTGCGAATAACGCTGCTTGACGCTAATCGACGCTAAATCGAGGCTAGACGATCAATCGACGCATTCATCGATTGCCAGACGCTATTGCACGCTAGTGCACTCTAAAAGATGGAAGTGCGAGGGCATACGAGGCTCCAATGAGTTGCTACCGAACGCGGTGGCGGGATGGGCCGAAGGTCACTAGATCCTCCGCCCCCTGTCGATTCATCAAAGGGGTGCCTGGCGTGTTAAATCCTCTCGGTTTGGGTTTTGGCTCTTTTTCCGAAAGAACTCCCCCTGGGGCTCCGGCACGTCCCGCCGGCCACCCGGAAAGGCGCTCAAAATGCATCCGTCGTGCCTCTGTTTCCTCCAGTTGGCCCAAGATGGCGTCCAAGACGGCCAAGATGGTCCCAACATGCATCCAAGACGACCCAAGATGGCCTAAGTATGGTCTAAGACGGCCCAAAAGGCCCGCAAGAGGCCTCCAAGACGGCCCAAGAGGCCTCCAAGAGGTCGACGAGGCCCGACGGGGCCAAAATCCTTGATTTTCCGTAAGTTTTCGGAGGATTTTGGCATTTGCGCCCTTTCGGCTTCCCGACGGCCCAAGACGGCCCAAGAGGCTCCCAAGATCGCCCCGAGATCGCCCAAAAGGCCCCAAAGAGGGCCCCATGACGGCCCAAGTGGCCTCCAAGACGGCCCCAAGAGGGCCCCAAGACGGCCGAAGAGGCCTCCAACACGCCCATGATGGCCTCCAATACGCCCAATATGGCCTCCAAGACAGCTCCGAAGCGCCCAAAGAGGGTCCCAAGTCGGCCCAGAAAGGCCCCTAAGACGGCTCCCGACGGCGTCAGACTTGCCAGGAACCCACCAAGATGGCCGAAGTTGGCTCGAAGCTGGCCCAAGACGGCCCAAGAGGCCCCCAAGAGGGCCTCCAGGAAGGCCAGAAGAGGCCAAAAACATAGATTTTCCTAAATTTGTTGACGGATTTTGACATTTGCTTCTTTTCGGCCTTCCGACGGCCCGAGACGGCCCAAGAGCCCCCAAAGATCGCCGAAAGATCGCCCAAGAGGCCTCCAAGATGGCCCCAGAACTGCTCAAGAGGGCCCCAAGACGGCCCCAAGAGGCCCCCAAGACGGCACAGGAGGCCTTTAAGACGCCCAAGATGGCCTCCAAGACGGCCCTGGAGCATTCCAAGAGTGCCCCAAGTCGGCCCATAGAGGCCCCCCAAACGGCTTCCGACTGCGTCAGACGGACCAGGAGCCCACCAAGACGGCCGAACATGGCCCTGAGATGGCCCAAGAGGCCTCTAAGAGGGCCTCCAGGAAGGCCCGAAAAGGCAAACATCATTGATTTCGCATGGGTTTTTGAAGGATTGTGGCATTTGTTTTTTTTGTTGCCTTCCGACGGCCCGAGACGGCCCAAGTGCCCCCAAAGATCGCCCAAGAGGCCCAAGACACGGCCCCAAGAGGCCCCCACGACGGCCCAAGAGGTTTTTAAGACGCTCAAGATGGCCTCCAAGACGGCCCAAGAGCCCTCCAAGACGTCCTCCAAGAATGCCCGAAAGGGTCAAAATGGCCTCCAGACGGCCAAGATGACCTTCAAGATGCCCACGTGTTCCCCGAAGGCTTTCGAAACCGATTCGGGGAACACATGGTCCGATAGCTTGGCTGGTCTGGCCTCAACGTTCGGCCTCATAGGCGCTTCCAAAAAGGCAGGGGGCGGCGGTGATTCGCCGTAGGCGTCTTCGATCCGCCGCCCCCTGTTGATTCATCACAGGGGTGCCCGGCGTGCTAGACCCTTTCGCTTTTGGTTTTGGTTCTTGTCCAAAACCCCCCCTGGGGTTTCGGCCGGTCCCGCCGGAGATGCGTAACAGGTGGTTGCAAAAGGTTTTCAGGCTCCAGGCGGCTCCAAGATGGCCTCCAAGATGGTCAAGATGGCCCAAGATGGCCTCCAAGTTTGTCCAAGATGGCCTCGAAGACGGCCCAAGAGAGTCCAAGATGCCTCCAAGTTCACACAAGAAACACCCAAGACGGCCCACGACGGCGCAAGAGGCCTCCAAGAGGCCTCCAAGACGGCCCAATAGGCCTCCAAGAGTTCCTCCAGGACGTCCCGAAGAGGTCTAAATAATTATTTTTCCTTTGATTTTTGAAGGCTTTTGGCTTTTGCTCCTTTTCGGCCTTCCGACGGCCCCAATAGCTCATCAAGGTCGCCCCAAGAGTGCCCAAGAAGCCTCCAAGATGGCCCCAGAACGATCCAAGAGGCCCCCAAGATGGCCCCATAACAGGAGCCCAAAGATGGCCCAAGATGCCTCCACGACGCCCAAGATGGCCCTCAAGACGGCCAAGATGGCCTCCAAGATGCCTCCAAGACGGCCAAGAAGGCCTCCAAGACGGCGAAGATGGCCCTAACGTGCACCCAAGACGGCCCCAGATGGCCTGAAGATGGCCCCAGACTGCCCAAAAGGTCCGCCAGAGGCCTCCAAGACGGCCCAAGACCCCTCCAAGACGTCCTCCAGGAGGCCCGAAAGCTCGGAAACCACCTGGTCCGATAGCTCGCCCGACTTCGTGCTCCCCGAAGGCTTTCGAAACCCACTCGGGGAACGCGTCGCCCGATAGCATGGCCAAGCTCAAACCCAACTTTCGGCCGCGCAGGTGCTTCCAAAAAGGCAGGGGGCGGCGGTGATTCGCCGTGGGCGTTTTCGATCCACCGTCCCCTGCGGTTCGCCACAGGGGTGCGCAGCGTGCTGAACTTTAGGTAGTTGTTGGTCCTTTTGTTGAGATTCCTAAGAGCCTTCGGCCGAATGCGCTGGCCACCCGGGAAGCCGCGTAAAAACATCTCTTGTTGCCCAAATCGCCTCCAAGATGGCCGAGGTAGCCCTAGATGGTCTCCCAGATGCCTCCATGGCGGCCCACATGGCCCTACCTAGATGGCTTCCAAGAAAATCCTAAGACGCCTCCAAGACGGCCCAAGGTGCCCTCCAGGCGGCCCAAGAGCCCCCCAATACGCCCCAAGAGGGCTCCAAGAGGATCTCTAGGAGGCCGAACTCTGTGGTACCATTTTGCTCAACGATTTTAGCGTTCTCACCGTCTCGGATTTCCCACACACCAAGAAGGCCCCATATGCCCCCAACATCGCGCCAAGATGGCCCGAGAGGCCTCCAAGAAGCCCGCAGGAGGGCCCCAAGACGGCACAAGAGGCCCCCAAGACGGCCCCTCGACGGCCCCATAGACCTCCAAGATAGCCCTACAGCCCCCAAAGAGGGAGCTACGACTGCCCCGAGAGAGCCCCAAGACGACCTCCGAAAGCCAAGAGGTCACTTAGAGCTACCAAGAAACCCGAGACGACCCCAAGAGGGCCCAAGATTCCCCTCAGAGGCCCCTCAGAGGCCCCAGTGAGGCTCCCAACGAGCCCCCATGAGGCCCAAAGAGGACCTCAAGAGGCAGTCTGATGTTCCTCCTCCTCCTCCTCCTTTTCCACCTCCTCCTACTCCTCCTCCTCCTTCTCCTCTTCCTCTTCCTTCTCCTCCATCTCCTTTATCTCCTCATCATTGCTCTTCCTCTCCCCAGTTTCCCTCCATACCTTCATCGCTCCCCAGAGGCGGCTGGCGGAACACATGGTCCAATAGCTTGGCCACACTTCGGCCCAGGGCTTGGCCGTATGACCGCAGAAACGCTTCCAAAAGGCATGGGGGTGGCGGTGCTCCGCCGTGGGCAGCTTCGATAGTACGTCCTGCCCGTCGCAGGATCCACTGCGCTGCCCCAGCCAGGCGCCAGCTCGAGGCCTGCGGGGGAGCAAGCCTCGCGGCGAACGCCCCTCTTCGGGGGCCGCCAGAGGTGCGCCTGGCCCAGGGCGCCCCCAGGTCTTCGATCAATCCTGGAGCTCCTGGGGCCCTCTGGGCCTCGTGAGGGGTGCTCGGGAGGCCGTGGGGGCCTCCTTGGAGATCCTGGGGGCACCTTGGGCCAGGGGCACTTCTGGCAACACCCGACCTCTCGCTCTGGCCCGCCACTGGCGCCGCCGGCTCCGCGGGTCGCCGTGGCCGATCGCCAGCTGCTGGCCGGGCCGGGGCCACTCCGCCGCCGTGGGCCTTCGTGGTGCCAGGCCGGGGCAGCCGAAGAGAGCCCTGCGCGCAGCGCACGACCGACTCCTTGCCCTCGACCCACTCGATCCAGTCGCTCCACTTCGAGTCGGCGGAGGTGCAGTTCCCCAGGGTCGCGCTGTCTCCGACGACAATGACACCACGCCTGGCGCGGGTGAGCATGACGTTCATCCTGCGAGCGTCAGCCACGAAACCCAGCTCACGCTTGACATTGCTCCTGGTTGCGCTGAAGATTACTAGGTCCTTCTCCATGCCCTGGTAGCCGTCGATAGTGTCCACAGTCACGGATGACAGCACCGATCCTCGCCACTTCCTGTTTGTCAGTTCGCCAAGAATTGCGCGGCGCTGCGCGACGTATGGTGTCAAGACGCACACGTCATCTGGATTCATGCCTGCTTTGAACAGTCCTTCCAGAACGTCCACGGCTATCTTGGCCTCTATCGCATTGAACCAGGAGAACCCACTTTTGTCCTCAACGCTTCCCGCCCCAGACGTGTCGACGAAACACACCCGGCAATCAGGATTCGGCCATGGAAAGCCAGGCATCATGGGCAGCTCTGTGTCGTCAGCGGCGTTCACCAGCTTCGAGTAGTAGAAAAACTTGCTGGGGAACTCTGAAATGGAGCTGTGCATGCGGCGTTGCTCGACAAGCACCAGCGACTGGACGCCGTTCTCGGTCAGCATCCGCTCCATGAAGCTGACTGCTAGGCCGCCACGCTGGGCTTCATCCGAGAGCACGGTGGCTGGCAGCTGGCCGTAATCGCCAATGACGACGAGCTGTTCGCAACCATGCCCCAGAGCCACTAGCACAGCCGGCTCTGTCGACTGAGTGCACTCGTCGATGATGACGCGACTGAAAGGGCCCAACCTCCTCATCATATCAATGCCGCTGCCGATACAAGTCGTGGCGATAACCTCGGCTGACCTGGCGGCAGCCTGAATCTCGTCACTGCCGTACTCAGCAGCATCCAGTTGCTTGGAGCGTCCCAAGCGTACGCAGTCGACGCCCACAGCCGTCAATCTATCGTGCAAGTTGTCCGCGGCCACGTTCGAATCTGCCACAACTAAGATCCGCCCGCCTTCAGGCTGCTTGAGCCAAGTGTTAACAATCCAGCACGCCACGTGCGTCTTGCCGGTCCCCGGCGGCCCCTGGATCAGGCTCATCCGCATGTGTGCCGCCCGAGAGACAGCGAAGCGCTGGCGCGATGTCAGCCCGCTGTGCTCCCCGCTGCCTCCTTGGATAATCTCGCTGGCGGCGTATCTGGCGGCCAACGACACAGACTGCTCCGAAGCGGTCTTCGACTGCGCCGGCGAGCCCGTGATGATCTGCCGCAACGCTGGCGAGAAGTGGTAGCCCGCTCCCTGTGCCCTCGACCCAGCCGCACTGGCGCCCCAGAGCGGAGCCTTGACTCCGCAGACTTTGTGTAAGGCATCCACCATCCGACACTGCGGTGTTCCAGTGGAGATGTTGAGCACGAAATACTGCTGGCCTGGCGACACTCTGGAGCCCTCGTCCTCCAAGTCGTCGACGCCGTAGGACACGCGGTCGACGTACATGCACAGCTCCTCGGCGCTGCTCTTCGCGGGGTGCGTGCGTCTCACCCTGTTGCAGATTCCCAACCATGCCCTGGGGTGATCCCACCTTACCTTAGGCAGCGCCATTGAGGGGCTGGCCGCGATAGCTGCCACGCTCTCAGGCCGGTCCAGCGCCTCAGGCGGGAGCAGCAGTGTGTAGGTGCCCGGCCAGGGGCTCGAACGCTCAGAGCCGTCGTCTTCGAGCCAGTCCAAAACTGTCAAGGCAATCTGGTTGCTGGATTCGGTCTCCTGGGCATCGCGCACCGATGCGGTCAGGATGCTGTTCCACGCCCGCGGCTCATGCTCGAATCTCGAGATGCCTGCCAACACACTGGCATAGCCCTCGAGCGCCAACAAGCAACGCCACTTCGCGAAGTAGGTGCAGGCCTCCTCAGAGGGAAAGCCGTCACTGCAGAGTGGGATCCTGCCGATGTCCAGCAGAGCCCTGGTCACCGCTTGCCGGTATCTCAAGGTGGACGCCTGCACTTGGTCCAGCAGTGCCTCCCAAAGACCGACCGACATGCCGCCGGCATCCACCGCGCTCTCCTGCGCTGCTTTCAGCAGCCTGTCCGCCAGACGCCCCTTGCGCCCTGCAACAGCGGCCTTGAGAGTGGCAGGCAAGAAGATCCGCCACTGCGCTTGCTTGAAAGGGGCGTGTTAGAACGCTCGTTGGTTGTCATGTACAGTTTCTGTAGTGCTTTCAAGGCCGACGACACACCCTACTCGCAACCTGGGCCCGAACATCGCGATTCTACTTTCCGGCCCCATTTTCGGCCTCCAGACGGCTCCAAGACAACCGAAGACCGCTTCTGAACCGCTGCAAAACGCCCTAGACCACCTGACGGCCAACGAGCCCCCTGAACGCTGCAAGATCTGTCCAATCTGCCCAGGAGGTCCCAAGAAGCCTCCAAGAAACGCCGAAGGAGGCCTCCAGCCAGGCCCCAAGAGGCAAACGCATTGAACAATCAATGGGTCAAGTTATGCGTTGCGTCCGAGGCTGCCACAAGAGAGCCCCCGAGGCTGCCCGAGACAATCCCAAGACGGTCCAAGACAGCCCCCAGACGGCCCCAAGACGACCGCAAGACCCGCCAAGACGTCCTCAAGTTAGTTCAATTGAGCCTCTTCGGGCGACCTCGTTAGCACCATCGCCCCTCATACAGCCGCCAACGGGCCAACCAGAGGCTCACAAGAAGGACACAAAAGGCCCCGGTGAGGCCCTGGAGCAAACAAGAGATCGCCCAGACGACTGAACAGAGGGACAACGGGTCTGCGGACAGAGAGGCTCTTTTTGTGAAACACCCGCGCCAGCTCAGACAGGGCACTGAACTGGAACGGGTCTCAAACTCGACCTCGATCCTGCTGAGCTGTTGCTCTGGTACGAGCCCAGACCCTCGACGTCATGATTTTGTCAGAACGTCGACCCCCAGAGGTCCCGACCCATTCCTCAGGACCGGTTTCTCGTCCTGAGTCGTTGTTTGGCAGTCCCGAGGCCTGGTAAGGCCCCCCGAGGCCAAAAATAGCGAAAAACCTCCCGTCGTGAGTTTTTCATGACTCGAGGGGGTGTGGGAGGACGGGGGTTTGCCCCAGGCAGCTTGCTAAACCACAGCCAGCCTGCCTGGTCTGGTGGGTAGCCGTCCATGAGCTGCAGGGCCTGTGCCCCTGCTTCCTCCACGCGCCCGTCCGCCAGGGCCTGGTGCAGCAGGTCGCAGCCGGCCCGGAAGCCTTCGGGGAGCTCTGGGAGGACGCCCAGGAACTCGAGCATTTTCACTCTGGCCGCGGCTTGCGCAGCCAGCTTCGAGGGCCCTTCCCCAACAGCCTCAGACCTTCCACCGCCCATGAGGCCTGTCCAGCTCAGCGTGCACCTGTACTCCCCGTTTGGGCACCTCCGCGCCTTCCCGAAACTGAAACTGATTCCCAGTCTTTCCGTTTCCTTCTGCGACACCTGCTCGATGAGCTTGACCTGCATCCAGTGCAGCGCGGCGCCAGGGCGCCCTCCGGGGCCACTGCGCTCTGGCGTGTCTGGCAGGGCGACTGAATCCTCGATCGCAGGCGGCGGGGTGGTCCTGCGAGCCTGCCGCCGCGTGAGCCTCCGAAGCCGCGCGCTGCCCAGCGCTGTCGCGGTGAGCGCCGACACCAGACGGGCAGTGCCTGAGCATCGTCTGGCCAATTCCCATCCCCACTGTCGTGGCCTCGGCCCCACTGACCGACTTGCCCACCCGATCAGGTGGGGATGTGTGCGCCTCTTCCTCTGGGCTTCTCGCGGGGCCTGCCCCCATCCCGGAGGGCGGGCTGGTGGGGCCGAGGTTCCATGGCCCAGTGGGGACGGGGATGCTCTGAGAGCCGATGCCGCGAAGACTTGCATCATGGTAGAGAAACCACGTCCGGGGCCCCAGACCCCATCTTTGATTTTCGAGCCGAGTCGATATGTGATAGTCCCAGGGCCCGAAACAAGGCAACATCGCCCCTTGCGGGAAAAATGCGACGCCCAGATCTGAGGGTTTTATCTGCCCCGAAACGCAACACGCAACACGCAGCGTATAGACACTGAGCTCAGCACGTAGACTGCAAACGTAGCTCCGCTGCGATACGTTCGCCCAAATGTAGGCCAGCACAGACCGAGCCGACGCGCAGCGTTTGCTCGCGCGGACGCTCGGAACACGGCACGCGCTGCGCTTCAACACGGGCGCATCAGGGCAGCTGGGCGGAGGGTCGGTTCGACGAGGAGGAGGAGGAGGAGGAGGAGGAGGAGGCGGAGGAGGAGGAGCAGGAGGAGAAGCAGGAGGCGGAGCAGGAGGCGAAGGCGAGGAGGAGGAGGAGGAGGAGGAGGAGGAGGAGGAGGGGGAGGAGGAGGAAGGAGGGCGGAGGAGGAGGAGGAGGAGGAGGAGCAGCAGGAGGAGAGGAGGAGGAGGAGGAGGAGGGAGGGGGAGGAGGAGGGGGATGGGAGGAGGAGGGAGGAGGGAGGAGGAGGGGGAGGAGGAGGGGAGGAGGAGGAGGAGGAGGAGGAGCAGGAGGCGGAGGAGAGGAGGAGGAGAGAGGAGGAGAGAGCAGGAGGAGGAAGAGGTGCCAGCGCCGGCCGCCGCACCCTGCCGCCGGCCCTGCGCCCGCCGTGCTGCCGCGGCAGCGGCCGCGGCGCCCGCGGCCCGAGGCGCCGGCGCCGCGCCGGCGGCGGCGCGCGCCCGGGGCGCGGCGGCCCTGCCGCGCACGGCCCGTAGGCCTCCATGGGCTGTGCCTCGTGGGCTCCGCGAGGGCCGGCAGCGCTGTCGCCGCCGGCCAGGGCGCCCTCCTCGAGGCCAGGAGAGGAGAAAACGGGTCACCGAGGGGAGCGGGCCCCGAGGTTTTTCTCGCCGTGCTCGAGCTCCTGAGGGGCCGTCGCGCGGGCCCCGGGGGGGACTGTCAGGGAAAGGAGCGGGACGAGGAGCTCGTCCTGGGGGGAGGCCCCGGGGTCCAGGACCCGTGTCCCTGGGGACTCCTGCCGAGGGGGGCCCTTTTGAGGAGGGCCCTCCGCGGCGAGGCCTGGGGCGACGGGGCAGCCCTTCCGTGGCAGCGGCCGCGGGCGCGCTTCCCCCCCCCCCCCCACGCCTGGGCCAGGCGGGGGGCCTTGTGCCACAATGGCCACCGTGTGGCGGCGGGTTGCGGCTTCTTCAGGCTCGGAGCAAGAACATATTTTCAATCATCCAGCCGCCGTCGTTGGCTGCTTCAGGCCGACCACTCACGGGCCCATCTTGTCAATGTTTCGAGCCGCGACTAGCCATGGCGACGACGTCCTTGCCCGAGGCCGATCACATGAACCCAGCGGGGCCGCGATGTGAAGATTTCGTTGTATCAAATGCGAGCTGGGTGCAAACTAAATGCGCACCACCTGTTTGAGCCTCGCTTTGCCTGATACTGGCCAGTGCGTTTACGCTATCGCCCACGCGGCCAGGATAGCTACAGGGTCCAGAACCAGAGCCCCCGGTTTCGTTCACAAGCGCTGGACGGCCAAATCATACCCCCCATCCAGACGGTGTCTATATCTGCATTGGACTTGCTGGTCGTGGGTGGTCGATTCGTGCCCACTCCAACGCCACACCCAACAATAAGACAGCGGTAACAACATGAACATGCTTGTGTTTCCACGTCTCCTGAAGACCACGTGTGGAGGTGCGGATCATTCCTTTCCTGCTCCGCATGCCGTAACCGTGCACGCGAAGGTAAACAGTACCTCAGGAAACGCTGTGGGCATACTGTTCACTTGCATTCGTTCATTCTGTCAGTTCGGCCAAATGCACTTGCACGGTGCGTCTGATAGCGAAGCGACGCACGAGCACTCCTTCGGCACACACTTCGGAGACCTGCTCGGCAAACGTGTCGGCCGGCCACGCGCAGCCGCTGCCGCCTTGGAGCACCATGTGGGACCGTCTCCAGAACAACAAACATGCCGTAGACTGATATATCCTGTTTCCGAAATTGCACTGCGCCGATTGCAACGGCCGCGTTGTCGATGCCGAATGTGTCCATACATCGAGCGACATCCACGGTGCTCGTGGCTAGAACGTGAGTGCGGTATCTGGCATCGGCCCCAGACGTCGGTTTCTCGAAGGAGGTAGACTTTGCCCTCCAAGTACACGTCGGTCGGAAGAAGTAGGTAGAAACATGAAGTAGGAAGGCGGATATAGCAGACTGTGTCCAGGCCCTCGCAGAGAATAACAAAACACAGCAAACGCATGCCGATTCTTGACGTAGGAAGGCGCTCGAAGTAGACTGGGATCTGGGAGCCCAAAAATATCCTTACTTTCAACGACCCGCGTGTACCGCCGCACCGTCGCCGAGCCGCCGCGCGGGCAGACGCGCCCGCGTGCACGCGCGCGTGTGCGCAACGCCCACGCACCGCCCGCCCGCCGCTTCTGGCGCTCTGCCCCCGCTCCACCCGCTCCTGCGCAACCCCCGCGCGCCGAGCGCTCCGCAGCGAAACTCGCACGCCTCGCAGCCCGACGTGCTGCTGTGCTGTTGCGCGGGCGATGGAACAACCCTGGCTCATGAGTGCTCCAGATCTCGTAATAAAAGGGAGGGGGTCTGGACCCTCCAAGACAAGCTATTTCAGACCTCCCCCGTGGGAGAACCCTCCAAGACAGCGTCCCCAGACCCCCCAGGACCTCCAAGATAGCCTGGAAGAGACCCCCCCCGAAATGAGACCCCCCTCCCTTTATTACGAAATCTGGAGTAGCTCATGAGTAACTCTCGGCCCGGAGGCCCCACGAGTGGCACCTGGAGGCCGCCAGGGGAGGCCCCGCACCACGACACGGGTTCACGCAGGCAGGCGACTGCCAAAACAATGTGGCCTGGGCCTCCTGGGCCTCTAGGGGAGTGATATAGGGGGGTTATTTTTGTAGGGTATTGTGTAGGTGTGATATCGTTTTTTTTGTGATATGGTTTATGTAGGGGAGTGATCTTGTGATATGGGTATATCTAGGCAGGCGACTGCCAAAACAGTGTGGCCTGGGCCTCCTGGGCCGTTTCGGCAGTGGACAGACCTCCCTTCAGCAAACCTCCCCTTGGCGAAAACGGCCTGGGAGCGAAACCGACGAACCTGGGCCCGCAAAAAGGACGGCCGTGACGCCCCCTCGCGAGCCGAAGACGGCCAATTCCCTAATCGACGTGCCATGGTAGGAGGTCTATCCACCTCCGACCTCTCGACACACGAACGCAGAACGCAGAAAACGCAGCTGCCCACACCCAGGATGGCGGCCCGCGGACCGGCGGCAGGCGATGGGCACCTTCGGCACCACGGGGCCGGCAGTCTGCTCGAGACGGCCAGAGGACGGCCCAAGAGGGCGCCGCGACGGCCCCGGACGGCACCTAGAGGGCATCAATGCGGCGCAAGAGGGCTCCAGGGCGCAACGCGTCCGGAGAGAGCCCCAGAGGGCCCCAATAGAGCCCCCAGGCAGCGCAAAGAACAACCACATCAGGAATCGATGCGCCCTGAGCCTCGATGCGAAACCGTCTCCTCCCCTCTTCTCACCCATCTCTCTGTCTCTATCCCTCTGACCATGTACCCGACATACTGAAGGCTACTCACTGTTTCTGTATCTCTCCCTCTGACCCCACGCCAGACATACTGAAGGCTGCTGTGGTGAAGAGACACCTCCTGCTCCGAATCGTTTGGGCCTGGGCACTATCAACCCGCACGGTAGCCAGAATACCAGCCTGTACAGATGCCACCGCGCCCCGAATCTGGTGTGTATATATATATATATAGATATAGATATATCAGGACATCGGACGGCTTGGCTGCCAACACTGTGGAAGACGGTCGAGGTCACAGGAAAATGTGGCGGAGACCGAGCGGAGGTGAGCGGGAGTTGCTCACCCGGGCCAGCGATCTAGTTTCTGTTTAACCATATGTAACCATCTGCGGATCCAGACGTTGGAGCCCCCAGGGACGGTGGAAGCCAGAGGGTACTTCGGGGGATGGGAGGCAAGCTGCACGCAAAGGCGTGGGGATATGACAAAATGTACATTGTATTCTGGGTCGATGCTGACTCGATATGCTACCCCTTTCCTGACAATCAAAATCAATGTGCACCCAACTGGTTCCTACCCTCCGACACGCGTGAAGCCTGCACGCTCCGCTGCGGGTCGGAGAACGCGGTCAGCAGCAACGGTAGCGAAGTCACCACCTCGGCTTCGGAAAACATGCCAGACCCCGATTCAAGCTTCCGTCGAACCTCTTCTGGCCCCTCGGGCGAACAAAACATACATACTCTCAGACACGCGACTGGCGGAACAAATGCTGTGGAAGAGTCCTGTCCATGTCGGTCACCTCCAAAAGAATGCGCTTGTCAAACAGACCAACTAATGTATAGAATCTGGGGCTCCTCTAGCCAGGCCCGTCTGGGGCGGGAACCATATCCATATCCAGGGCCTCGCGGTCTGGATTCCTCGTTTGCGACCCCATGGATTGGATAAAGGACGGCTTTGGGCGGATGCCCCGCGCGGAACATATCCATGGATTCGCGTATCCGTGGGATTGCGCCTCGGTGTCGATATCGTCAGCGCATGGTTGTGGATAGAAGTGCTCGTCGATTGTGAACTCGTGCGAAGCGGGTCCCCCAACCCCCCTCGCAAACACCATTCTAACCAGCTTTCCGAAGCGAGACCCGCCCGCTGGGGCGTCGGAGAAGCTCCACGGTGGCCGCGAAAGTAAACAAGTGGCACGCGTGCCCTGGCTCTTGCACAAAGGAGCTGCGAAGGACTGGGAAGTCTGGACGGAGGAAGGCTGGACGGAGGAAGGCTCCCAAGGGTGGGTGGCTCAGGGGAGCTAAGGCTCAGGCTCAGGGGGGGGGGGGGCGAGGGGGACGAACCACCACGAGCCACGAACCACGACAAAAATAAAAGGTTCCGCGGCCCAGGGGGGCTACCCTGGGAAGCCGAAGGGTGGGTGGCCCAGGGGAGCTGGGGCTCAGGCTCAGGGGAGGGGCCGACGAACCACCACGAACCGACTGGGAAGTCTGGACGGAGGAAGGCTGGACGGAGGAAGGCTCCCAAGGGTGGGTGGCTCAGCGGAGCTAAGGCTCAGGCTCAGGGGGGGGTCGGGCGAGGGGGACGAACCACCACGAGCCACGAACCACGACAAAAATAAAAGGTTCCGCGGCCCAGGGGGGCTGCCCTGGGAAGCCTGGACGGAGGGGGGTCCCAAGGGGGGGGGGCCCAGGGGAGCTGGGGCTCAGGCTCAGGGGACGGGTCGAGGGGGACGAGCCACCACGAGCCACGAGCCACGACGAAAATAAGGATGTCCGCGGCCCAGGGGGGCTGTCCTGGGAAGCCTGGACGGAGCAAGCCTCCGAAGGGTGGGTGGTCCAGAGGAGCTGGGGCGCAGGCTCAGGGGATGGGCCGACGAACCACCACGAACCGACTGTGAAGCCTGGACGGAGGAAGGCTGGACGGAGGAAGGCTCCTCAAGGGTGGGTGGCTCAGGGGAGCTGGGGCTCAGGCTCAGGGGGGGGGGCGAGGGGGACAAACCACCAAGAGCCACGAACGACGACGAAAATAAAAGGTTCCGCGGCCCAGGGGGGCCTGGACGGAGCACGCCTCCGAAGGGTGGGTGGCCCAGGGGAACTGGGGCTCACGACGAAAATAAATGGTTCCGCCGCCCAGGGGGGCTGCCCAGGGAAGGAGCTGGGGCTCAGACCCAGGGGAGGGGCCGAGGGGGACGAACCACCACGAGCCACGAGCCACGACGAAAATAAAGGGTTCCGCGGCCCAGGGGGGCTGCCCTGGGAAGCCTGGACGGAGGGGATGTCCGCGGCCCAGGGGGGCTGTCTTGGGAAGCCTTGACGGAGCGAGCCTCCGAAGGGTGGGTGGCCCAGGGGAGCTGGGGCGCAGGCTCAGGGGAGGCCGAGGGGGACGAACCACCACGAGCCACGAACCACGACGAAAATAAAGGGTTCTGCGGCCCAGGGGGGCTGCCCTGGGAAGCCTGGACGGAGGGGGGGTCCCAAGGGGGGGGGGGGGCCACGACGAAAATAAAGGGTTCTACGGCCCAGGGGGGCTGCCCTGGGAAGCCAGGACGGAGGGGGGGTCCCAAGGGGGGGTGGTCCAGGGGAGCTGGGGCTCAGGCTCAGGGGACGTGTCGAGGGGGACGAACCACGGCGAACCACGAACTACGACGAAAATAAGGATGTCCGCGGCCCAGGGGGCCGACGAACCATCACGAACCACGCACCACGACGAAAACAAAGATGTCCGAGCTCTAGAGCACAGCTGCACAAGAGAACTAGCAAGGCTGCACCAATGCCGCAGAATATCCGAAACAGCCTTGCAGAGCCATAATGAGGGGCCACGATGAGGGTCATGATAGGGGGGGCTGAGTGGGCACGATGGGCAACCAACTTCGGGGGCCCAAGCTATGGAAACCAACGCGGGCCACCGATTTCGAGGATCCGGGCCCCCCTACTGGGCGCAATAAGCGTTGTATACCACCCTTGCAGACACCCAGTCTGGGGAAAAGGCGCGGACGAGCAGACCTGTCTCTTGGCATACAGTGCTTGAACCTAGGCGTTATTACATCTACTCTGAGGAACTGGGTTTGGGGCCCTGAGGTTGTGTCGTGCCCATGGGCTGCGCCCGTGGATTACGCCATACGCTGGGGCCATGGTTTCGTTTGACGGCACAAGGACTTGTCATGGCGATAGGTTGCGTCCACGGGCTGGGCCGCATGCTGCAGCCTCGGCTTGCACCTAGCGCTCATGGGTACCTCGTGACCAAACGATGCGCCCGTGGGGTCCTCCTCCTCCTCCTCCCTCCTCCTCCTCCTCCTCCTCCTCCTCCTCCTCCTCCTCCTCCTCCTCCCTCCTCCTCCTCCGCCTCCTCCTCCTCCTCCTCCTCCTCCTCCTCCTCCTCCATTCCTTGTCCTTGTGCATAACTTCTCCCTGTCGCACCCCGAGGCCAGTTGTTTAGGGCGGGCCGGGCGTTTCGCCTGAGACTTCCTCACCACTTATGACCCTGAAGCTGAAAAACTGGTAACGGCTGCACAGATTGAGGGCGGGCCGTTTTCAGAATGTGGCTCTCACCGTAGAGCCGCGCACATTTGTTTTAAATATTTGAAAGGAGTTTCACGGATAGGCGGCGACCCGTTTTCAAAATGTGGCTCTCGCCTTAGCGCCGCGCACATATGTCCTACAACATTACCAACAACGAATCACGCATTGACGGCGACCCGTTTTCGAAATGTGGCTCTCGCCTTAGCGCCGCGCACAGTCGTTTTTTTGTTTAAAAACAAAAACATTTGCTAGAGGTTCACGGATTGAGGGCGACCCGTTTTCAAAATCTGGCTCTCGCATCAGCGCCGCGCACACTCGCTAGTAAGAGTTGCAAGAGTTTCACGGATTCCCATGATCAGCGTACCGGAAACTGTGTTTTGGAAGGACTCAGGGTCATGAGAAGTCCCTGGAATAGCGTTCTGGCGCGATTCACGATCGCCAAGGCGCCGCAGTCAGGTTTAATTGTGGCGATGGAATCCCGAGGACGATGTTTTGGCATGCTTCAGGGTCTTCATACAGTTGTCTCCAACGGGGCAGTTCCCTCAGTGAAAATGCACCCTTGTATGGGGCCTATGAAGAGGGGGCTTGGAGGGAAGGCTTATTCCAGCATCGTTGATGACTCTTGGGTTTACACTGGTCCTCCTCCTCCTCCTCCTCCTCCTCCTCCTCCTTCTCCTCCTCCTCCTCCTCCTCCTCCTCCTCCTCCTCCTCCTCCTCCTCCTCCTCCCCTCACCGCCTCCCCTCGTCGCCTCCCCTCGTCGCCTCCCCCGGATCTCTTCCCAACGTGGCCTGAAGGGGGGGGATGGGCCCCCTCTGTGGGGCTGGCTTTCCATCCCGATCCGCTTCTGCCCATGAAGGCCCCGGGGGGGCGTAAATTGACCAAAATTAGCCGTTGCGACTTCTTCCCAACGCGCCGGGATCTGGGTCTCTGTCCTAGACGAAGAAAAAAGGCACAAACATAAACTGTTGGCGCTCCGCGCGGATTTCTGGGATCTGCGCTGGACGCTCCTCCCTGGCGCGCGGAGCGCGCCAGGGGCGGCGCCGAAGGCGCAGCTGGGGGGGGCCCAGCGCGGATCCAAGAAGCCCGCGCGGAGCGCCGAAAGTTTATGTGCATGCCGTTTTTTCTTCTTCGATTCCCCCCCCTCGACTGAGGCCGGCGCATATGGGTCGAAGAGCCGCCCCAGGCTGAGCGTCAGGCCCTCCAGGCACAGCAGAGCGCCCTCGCGGACGCCGGTATCCTCGACGAGGAGGGAGGGGGCAGGGAAGGTCGGAGGGGGAGGAGGGAGAAGGCGGGATGAGGCGGGAAGAAGAGAGAGGACGGGGAGGAGGGAAGAAGCAGGAGTAGGAGGAGGAGGAGGAGGAGCAGGAGGAGGGGGTGGAGGAGGAGGAGGAGGAGGAGGAGGAGGAGGAGGAGAAGAAGGAAGCGGGGGAGGTGAGGAGGAAAGCTGAGCTATGGAGGGGATGGGTAGGGAGGATAAGGAAGAGGAGCGAGGGAAACGGGAAGAGGAGCAGCAGAAACAAGAGGAGGAACTAGGAGGAACGAGAGAGAGAGAGAGAAGGAAGACTGCTTACAGAGGGCGACGGGAGAGAAAGAAAGAGAGAGAGAGAGGGAGCGAGAGAGACACAGAGAGAGTAGCAGTCAAGAGTTGAGAGCGAGGAGGGGCGGCGCCCCTGCGCGCGGAGCAGAAGGACTCTGGCAAGTGGGCCCCAAGGCGGCTCGCGGCGTGCCCACGGCCGAGGCCTGGCTCCCGACACTCTCGGGCGCCATGCCGCTGGTGTACCGGGTCGGCAGCCGAGGAGGAGGAGGAGGAGGAGGAGGAGGAGGAGGAGGAGGAGGAGGAGAGGAGGAGGTGGAGGAGAAGGAGGAGGAGGAGGAGGTGGAGGAGGAGGAGGAGGAGGAGAAAGGACGAGCAGAGGAGGAGGAAGGAGGAGGAGGAGGAGGAGGAGGAAGGAGGAGGAGGAAGGAGGAAGGAAGGAGGAAGGAGGAGAGGAAGAGGAGGAGGAGGAGGAGGAGGAGGAGGAGGAGGAGGAGGGGGCGGAGGAGAGGAGGGGGGGGGGGGGGGGCGAGAAAGGATTGAGGCCCCCCCCCTCCCTTTGGCGGCGCGCAGAGGGGGGTAGGGGGGGGGGGGGAAGGCTTCTTAGAAGGAGGAGGAGGAGGAGGGGGAGGAGGAGAAGGGAGGAGGAGGAGGAGGAGGAGGAGGAGGAGGAGGAGGACTTGGAGGAGGAGGAGGAGGAGGAGGAGGAGGAGAAGGAGGGTTGGACTTGGAGGGCGTTGGGGCGCAGAGGGGGGTAGAGGGAGGGGGAGGGAGGGGGAAGGCTTCTTAGAAGGAGGCTGCTTCTCAGAAGCCGCGGGCCCTACATTTACAGACAATTGGGAACCCCCAAACCGGGTGGTGAGATACCAGGTGGCGACCTGGAATCCCCAAAAAGGTCACCGCTGGGTCTGGGGACGCGGGGTCACCACCGGGTTCTGTGACTCCTGGACCCACCAACGTTCGGGACATCCTCGGAAAACCGCACGAGTCCCCAAACCGGGTGGTGACACCAAATCGCCCGAGACTCACCGCCAGGTGTTGTCACCACCACGTTTGGGGACTACCAAGACAAGGCCCGCGCCTTCTCAGAAGCAGGGGTGCTACTCAGAAGCCTTCCCCCCACCCCCTAAACCCCCCTCCGCGCGCCAGGGGCTGCGCCGGAGGCACCGCCAGTGGGGCTCAGCGCGGATCCGGAGAATCAGCGCGCGGACCTCCCAGAAGCCATGTTTGATCCCAAAGTCATGGCATTGGATCGCCGGCGGCCTTGGGCCAGCCGCATTGGGTGCGCCAAGGATGCCGGACTCGAGTGCCAGGCCTGCCAGCCTCCCAGCCATCCTCGGCCGAGCGGTCATCGTCGTGCGCGTGGGTGCCCGCTGGCCGTGCGTCTCGCCGGCTTGGGACATGCCCGCGGCGGCCCAGCCGCAGGGCAAACGGTCGGGGGGCACGGCTGGCACTGCAGCGTCCCAGCCGGCGGCGAGCGAGGGGGGGAAGCGAGAAGGAGAAGGCCCTCACAGAAGGCGGCGTGGCCTCTCAGAAGCGCTCTCGCTCTGGCTGTCTGGGGTGGAGGAGCGCGTTCCGCTACTCGCAGAATGACTACTCGCAAATGGCCTGGATCCGCCGCGGGGGATCTGCGATACATTACATCGAAGCAGACATGTGTTTTTGTTCGGGCGCTTGCGAGCAGGCGCTTTGCGAGTAGTGGAACGCGCTCGGTGATGGGAACTCTTTCTATGCCTCTGGGGAAGGCTCAGACCACTACTCAGAAGGCCGGGGGGCCGGGGAACTTCCGAGCCTTCCGAGAAGGTCTGCCCCCTCTCGTTTCCCCCACGGGGCTCGCCGCCGACCTTTGCTGGTGTCGGGCCAGGGGCCACGCTGTGCCGATCATCTTAGCTGCCCAGAATACGCAACATGCAACACGTATCGTATTGATACGGAGCTCAACACGTAGGCTGAAAACGCGGGTCCGACGCGATACACTCGCCAATGGTCCAACACGTGGGTCAATACGAAACGTATTGACACGGACGTCTTGAACACGGGACGTATTGCGTTTCAACACGGGCGTATCGAGGCAACTGAGCCGATCGTCGTCGGTGCATGCGGTGGCTGCCGTGCCCGACGGCCCCTGCGTCGCACTCTTGACCAGGGGCCGGCCGAGACGGCATCGCTCACAGCCAGTGCAGGACACGTCACTCGGCGCGGCGTGGACCGCCCAAGTCGAGAGATCTCAGCTCAACCGATTGAGGGCGAGGAAGGTCGGGTGCCCGACGGCCCTCGCGTCACACCTTTGACCATGGGCCCGCCTAGACGACATCGCTCGCAACCGATGCAGGACACGTCACTCGGCGCGAAGTGGACAGCCCAAGTCGAAAGATCTCAGACCAAACGATTGAGGTCGAGGGAGGTCGGGTAAGATGTCGCAGTGTCCTTCTTATTCTCTGTCGCCTCCTTGATCCTCGTGAGGATGTTGTGCTGCCCCACCTGCAACAGGGCGCCCGCTGGGGGATACATCAACTGAGCATTCTGGATCCGTGGTTGGGAACCAAATCAATGAACTACGCAACCGCATACAGTCGGGCCGCTGAAATACGGAACGATAGATGAGGAACGAAGCTCCTTCTTGATCCCAAGAAGCGCCTGCGTGCACGACGAGGGCCGGAGGAGCAGCCATGGAAGGACCTGAGGAGCAGCCAGCCCCTTCCGAAACAACCTGTTCCTTTTTTCAGCGTCTTGGCTGCAGATCGACCGATCCACCTGTCGCTCGGCCAGCTGCCTTCCCCCCGGTCGGCAGATGCGCCGAACCTCGGAACGACCCTGCGGTCGGGCCCGGATCGGCGGGACGGGCCTCTGCACGGGTCCCCCCCTGGCACACCTCTGGGCCGCAAGAGGCGTCAGAGACATGCCACTCTCCTTCATCCGTGCGACGGTCCTCGTCATTCTCCTCCTTTGCATCCTCCTCCCCCGCCCCCCCCCCCTGCTCCTCCTCCTCCTCCTCCTCCTCCTCCTCCTCCTCCTCCTCCTCCTCCTCCTCCTCCTCTCCTCCTCCTCCTCCTCCTCCTGCTCCTCCTCCTCCCTCCTCCCTCCTCCCTCCTCCCTCCGAGGAGCTCCCGCCACCGTGCCGCCCTGCGGAGCGCATCCCCCAGGCACGGGAGAAAAGGGCTTTTTGTGCCTGGCCACGGCGCGCCCCCGCCGCGCAGAGGGCCCCGAGGCATAGGAATCCGAGGCGCGGCCCCGAGCTCGGGATACCGAAACAGGTAAACAAAAACAACTCCCGAACCCAGAAGAAAGAGGAGGCGGGGGAGGCAGAGGAGGAGGAGGAGGAGGAGGAGGAGGTGGAGGAGAGTTGGAGAAGATGGAGAGGAAGGAGGAGGAGGAGGAGGAGGAGGAGGAGGAGGAGGAGGAGGAGGAGGAGGAGGAGAGAGCGGCCCGTGCTGCAGCGTCTCTGCTGCAGGTCTGGCCGCCGGGCGTCTCCTGCCACGGACCTCCGCGTCAGGGGCAGGGCCCCGCCAGCTGCTCCCCGGCGGCCAATTGTGTGCCCTCGCGCGACGACAACCCCCCTCCTCCTCCTCCTCCTCCTCCTCCTCCTCCTCCTCCTCCTCCTCCTCCTCCTCCTCCTCCTCCTCCTCCTCTGCCAAGATCAGGAGACTGAGTACCACCGCTTCGAAGGACCCCGCTGGCAACCCAGACGAAGCGGACGCCAGAAGCAGAGTGCAAATGACAGCAGGTGTTTGACATGGCTTGCTATGGCCGAGTGGCGAGGACGAGGGGATTGAAGTTCCCCCGAATATGGGGTGATTGGTTTTGGTGCCGCACCTGCGCATCCTCGCCTTACACCCGCATCCTCCTTGCTCATTCTCCCTCCACCGCACAACTACTCAGGGCAGCAAGGCACACCACTGTCCGAAGTATACCAACAAAAACCAACATTCGCGTCAGCGAACGCCTGTCTCACTTCGAGAGCACGTGCTGCCCCACTGCCTCCAGGAGGCAAGATCAGAGGAGGCCAAACGGTCTTTCATTGTCTCTGGGTGTATGGCTGAAGTGTGATTCCGCTGCGTGTTGTTGTTGCTGTTGTTGTTGCTGTTGTTGCTGTCGTTGCTGTTGTTGTTGCTGTTGTTGCTGTCGTTGTTGTTGTTGTTGTTGGTGGTGGTGTTGTTGTTGTTGGTGTTGTTGTCATTGTTGTTGCTGCGTTGCATTGTGTTGATGGTGTTGTTGTCATGCCCCCCCCCCCGCGACCCAAACGCGATCCACCCTGCGATCCACCCGCCCGCGCTCTCACTCTTATCCGCAATTGCGGGGTGCTGCGTGAAAGTGGACGTCACGCATACCCCACACTCGTTTCGACTTCTCCCTGCCTCTCCCTGCAAGAACCACCGCTTGAATGCGCATCCCGCGATTTTGAATGAGGACCCCTACGCTTCAAGCTTTGGAGCTTGTTCAAGGGAGATGCGTTTCGCCCCTAGACGGCTGCGGACACAGAAAGCTAAGTGTGAAACAATGCTTGACATGGTCATGCACATGCAAGCGAGGACCGAAGCGGACAAATAGTGCCCCCACCCTCAAACTCTCTCGCGGCATACCCACCCTGGTTTCGACTCCTCCCTGCCTCTCCCTGCATGCGCCACCGCTTGAATGCTCAGCCCCTTCACGGCGGCGCCCACGCCCATGGCCGCGCCGCGCCGCGTCATCGGGTCTGTCTTCTTCTCGAGGGCCACGTCCAGGAGGTGCAGAAGCGTCTCGGTGGCCTTCTCCTTGTCCTGCTTCATGAGCGGAGGCATCACCTTCACGATCGCGTTCTGCACCTCGGCTCGGGAAGGGAGCGGGCGCAAGGCCGCAGCACCCCTGATGCCTTGCACTCTGGCGCTGCGGGGATCGAGAGCGGCGGCCAGCCGTTCCGAGGTCCAGCGGCCAGGGACCTGCTCCGAGCCATGGTGGCCCTCGTGTACCGGCCCTTGGCGTGGCCCGTCCCGTACGAAGATTTGGCCGGGGGCCCCGGGTCAAGGCCTCGGGTGTGCCAGCGGAAGATGTGCCAACTATCCATGCTGGTTCCAAGCATGCTCGCAGCGCCGCAGAGCGGTCAGAAGACTGTTCCAATGCCCTTTCAATACTCGGGTGTGCCAAGGACGTGGGATTGCCCTGGCCCTGGTGGTCCCCAAGATGGCCTCCAAATGCCTCAATGTTGCCCCCGAGAGGGCCTGATATGGCAATAACAAGAGGCCACATGCGAACCCTACCCCTACCCCCCACGATTTCGGAGGGGGAGGGTGGGGTTCACTTCGTTCGGGAGCTCCCAAGCGAAGTGAACCCCACCCTCCCCCTCCGAAATCGTGGGGGGTAGGGGTAGGGTTCGCATGTGGCCCCCTAAATACTCCCATACTCGGCGCCAACACCGGTACGTGACGATGGCGATGAAGTGGGCGGTCTTCAAAGCAATCACGATGTGTAGCGGTCTGTACTTGGCACTATGCCTGGGGACAACGACTAAGCCATCCGTTAGCAACGCGCCAAGAAGAGAGAACGAACTGAACCCTCCAATCAAAACAATGGAATATGCAAATGTGAGCAAATCGTACGGGAACCTTGATTGAAAGCCGTCGGTATATTCGAATATATCAGAAAAGCGAGTCGAGAAACACTCTTTCACATCTGCACCTTCGCTCGTGACTTTGACCTGCAACGGGCAAAGATGGCGGCCACTTTCGATCAACCCAACAGCTTTTGACATGTTAAGCAATCTATTCTCGGGATCGACGCAATCGTTTGTCTTCACGTCTCCCCATCGAACATGCAAAATCTCGAACTAATTACTCGTGCACGCGACGGATTTAACGGAGGTCGACAAGAACATGTCACTTACCCGAGTGAGGCAAGTGGTATGCCCTTGATCAAGGGCGTCGCCATCAATGAAACAATAGTGTAGGCCGCTACAAAACTCGAGGTACCTTGATTGGGGTATCCATTTTACACGTTCTTAAATATTTTACTGGCACGCTCACATTTACGCGGTCAAAATCAAGGAAATTCGAACTGCAGAATGGCTGGCAAAGTCCAGGAAGTTCTGCACAGTCTACATGGACGTGGCCACTCACAGGTGGTCTTACCCAAGGCAGCCCAAGGGCGAACGTGCAGGGCAAACTCTCCAGATACTGCTGCAAGAAGCTCCCGACACCCTCTGTGCGCCCTCTCCTCATTGGCACGGCCGCAACAGAGATGTTGCTATTGCGGTTGCGGAGCTTTCTACTCCGTAAGGCGCAACTCGCGCACGAAAGACACCAGCTCAGATGGCGAGAGGTTCGCGACATATGCCAGGTCGGAGGACGAGACATCCACGCTCGCGTCGGGCCGATTAATCCGGCTGCCCTGCGTCAGCTTCAGAGAGCGTGCGCACCTGACGCGAGAACGGCCAACCATGCAAACGTAAAGCGAGTACACAGGCCCATCGACGTGTTGTCTATATGTCTGGAGGTTCAATCACTAATTCTGCGCAGTCAGTCAGTCAAGTGGCTTGAGCCAGAGTGGCTACGGACCTGGGGAGGCGCCCCGCGGAGCAGCGGTGGTGTCTCTCGTTCCAGAGACCCCCCCCCGACCATGGCAGCTTCGCGCAGGGCAGCGCCCTGCTGCAGTGCAGCCCTGCATTCGCGAAGTCAGACCGCCTCGCCGACATTTCTGCGAACCTGCGGACGGCCGATGCCATCGGGCTCGTCGGCACTTCGATTCGACGACAACGGGCAGGCCTACATGCGAAGGGCTTCGCACGACACCACCATGCCATTGAGTGGGGATGGGGTACTTTTCGCCGTGCACCAACAAGAGCAGTGCAGTGATGTTGCTGATGAAGCGCTCGAGGTTCCGTACATCATACACATCTCGAGTGTAGCAACCCAAGGCAGGGCTCCTGGGACTAGGAGGGTCACTGACAGGTCCAAGGACAAACGCAGTGCAATTTCATGTTGGAATATTTCCCGCCTATCCCAAGGGCCGCTGCGGTCAACACCGACTGCCACATCACATTAGAAAACGAATTGAATTCGAGCTGGCGCAAACACCAGCGGGGCTAACGTACATCGAGGTGGACCTGAAAGACGGCCTCGGCAACCCACGAGGCCCTGACGAAGCTATCGGACCAGTATCTCCTGATCATGAAGGCGGAGTAAGTATTCGAGTGCGCACCATCATGAACTGTCGGCGCACAACGCGTTTTCTGGGGAGCTGGCCATACTCATGAAGTGCCACATGCACCGAAGATCAGGACTGATCTCATTATAGCGCCAAGCGGCTTTTTGACAGGCATCATTGAGTGCGCATGCTGGAGGCGCACCGCAATGAAGCTGCAAGCCTCAACAACTTACATCGAGGGTTTCACAATTCCGCTTCACTGCAACCACACAACATGGTAGATGGATCGAGTGGCAGAGCTTCTCCAGAGAGGCGAAGATAGAGCTGGAGATCCTCACGGCGCTGGGAGGGCAGCTCATCGAGCACAAGAACGACTTCGACGAGTGACGAGGCTGACATGGCGAGCACCCCAAACATGCACGACATGTTTTCTTACAATGCGCCCAGAAGGCCGGCATGCACTGTCCACGAGAAAGTGCGCACCGACTTCGGAGACCTCGGAGCTGATCAAAGAACGTGACAAGCTACTGCGAGTCCGACTTGGGATGCGGCGCGAACATGCTCTCAGACCTGACGACGCCGATTTTCCTCGCCTCAGACAGTTGAAGACAAAACTAACTCTGGTCAGACGACGTGGCCTTGCTCTCGCTAATACACTTTGACAAGGCTCTCTTTTGGAAACTTTGAGGCGAGGCGACCATGCAGTGGCATGCCGAATAGCAAGAGCATTGACGCATGCTAGAGTGGAAGCAAAGCTAAAGTGGGAGCAAAGAAAAGGGTGTACAACACATCGCTCCCGTATCAACGTCTGCACAGGAGTGGTTGGAAGCTTTGCCTAGGAACGGCCCAGGGAACGGCTTCTTGGCTACCGCCACAACGCCGCCACCCACCGATCAGGTCCTTCAGGACCTACAAGATCAGCGACATTGGCATCATATCGTGTCTGGGCAAACGCTTGGCGCCATGGGTCTTTCGGAGCCACTCCTTGACGACGCCCAAGGACACATGCAGCGCACAATTCACATTCTACACAGGGCTGCGCGGCGAAAATACGCCCCCGAATAAAGCCTTCTCGCCGAGTTCTTCATCGTAACCACGTCCCACAACTAGTTACCTGTCCAGACCCGCTCGCCCAAGCGGCGGCACAGGAGATGCCCACTCCTCTGAAGGCATCGCGTTTGCCGATGGCCACATGCGAGAGCGACCTACAGACGAACTTCGAGCACGTGGCCGCCGGCAGTTTGCCTTGGAAGGCATCGAGCACGCCGGCGAGGGGCCACAGGCTGCACGCGCACATATGCGCCGAGTGGGAGCGGTACCACCGACAGCAAACCAAAATGGGATACGCATGCTCTATGAGACGAAGACTTTCTCTCCACTCCCGAAGGTCCACACGGCCGAGCTCCTCGAGATCACTGCTGCAGGGGCTATGTGTCGTGCTGCAGGCTCATTCACGCCACGCGCGGCGACTGTCGCTGTCTTGTCAGGGCGTCGCTGACGCACCAGTGCGTGGGGGGCCTCTCACACCAGCGACGGGAAGCAGCGATAGCGATTCCGAGAATGAGTTTCTGGAAGTAGCCAGATCTTCGAGATTGAGCTGCGTGGGACGGAACCATGATTTGACCAGCGCATTTGCGTGCGTAGCGGTTGCACGACGCTGTTACCAGATCTGCGAGTTCGCCCCTGCCCATCTCCCGCCCTTATTCAGACTGCGGCGTGGCATGCTCAAGGCTCGGCTCCGCGACTTCGACGCCGAACTGTGGGCTCCCATGTGTAATGGAGGCCCCATGTGATGCAGCAGCAAGCCAGAGAGATTACTATGATGTAGACCAGCATTGGAGGAGCTCACGGGCAACCACGACGTCCGCACCCTGGGCGAGTTCTGATTTCCCCGAATATGGCGACATCGACCCAAACCTTGCCGGGCTCATCGATTACTTGTTTCGTCTGATGTTGCTCAGCCCTGGCACGCCTGAGGAGCGCATGGCGTTTCTAAACGCGGGGGGCGGCGCCTTCGACGCCTTGCTGTAATTCGGAGGTTGCAAGCAGAACCGATCGAAGAAGGACATCATCGTCTCACCTGGCACCAGCCAGCACGCACACGATTTAGCAAATCATGAGCGTCTACCATGTGTCCTTCTACACACCCCTCGACACCTGGGAGGCTGGATCACCCCCTCGTGCACACAGAAGGACTTGTCCATCGGTTGGTGTGCATACTCGGGGGCGTGGCAAAATCCTAAGATCCCCAAGAAATTCAACCGCTTGATATTCCTGGGAGTGGTTTACAATGCTAGTTTGAGCGGCCCCGAGGCCGATGTGTTAACGAAGGGGGATTAGGATTGTCTCGACGGAGCTGTCTAGGAAGCTTGGGTGTATGATGCAAGGCATTGCTTCTTGGACTGACCCCACGGGCCCAATAAAAACAGATAAGCAACGCGGCCCTGAAGAAATGGATCCTCCCCCCCAGCCCCTCTAGCACTGAAAATACGACGATGAACTTTCTAGAAGCACGCGCTGAGACATCGGAAGCAGTCTACACAATGGTGGGCTACTCTATTGGCCAGATATAAGGTTGAACACGAGCGAGGCCGAGCGAACGAGATGGCCGATCTAAGAAATCCTGTCGCTTCACCCACCATCCTCGAGGGCAGCATCAACATGAGTCCGCAAGCGAACCCCTGGG